ACGCTTCTCACGCTTTAAGGTGTGGCCCGCCTCATGATGGAGCTTGATTTCGTGGAGCCCATGTTGGATCTCGCGCACATAGGGTTGAAGAAAAAAACCAATTGATAGTGACAAGCTGGCTTTTTGTGGAGGCGGTTTGTCGACTGGTGCTGAAGGTTGCGAGTTAGGATCTGGAAGATTTGGGTCTTCTCACTGTGACTTGGTCGGTTTTGAATGCTGAATTCACGCTCCTTGATATGGCAAAAGTACATTCATCTGGGGAGTGGAGACAAAGATGGCACGTTCCTTCCAAGTTTTGCTAGACCTTATGTACATCTCTGTATCCTGCAGTCCTTCCGAGCTTAAAAAGCTCGAGCGAATCTGCAAGATCTGCCTGCCTGTGTAGATATGATTGGGGTCGATGACCTTGAACATCTTCATGTGCCTTTGAAGCGCCATAGGACCCAGCAATGTGTGTCAAAGCAGGCCATTTTTCAGCTCCTGGTGACGGCTACTGCACGCATCACGAGAGCAAAGCTTGCGTTCCTCGCGCCTGCACTTTCTTGCTTCTGGAGTATCAGCTTGGGAACTCTCGCGTCTTCATTCAGCAGTCTTGGCAATGATCGTCGCCATGTGAAAGCTCAGAACCTACATTGAAGCCCCTGTGCAAAGCACCATGGTTACTGCCTCAGCAGATGTCCCAGCGCAGATTACAAGAACTTGTGAAGCTCTTCGTCAAAACTGGCAGGTGCTGCGTACGTTGGGATTGGCTGCTCTGCTGGGTGTGCTCCAGCAGACGCATGCCGTGACAGCTACGCCCTGAGCTGTGCCGACACGTGATTTCTGCAAGCCCCGTTTCCAGGTCTGTACTGCATGATTCTCCCAGGTAAGGCCGCAGCTGGACAACCACCACTGCAAAGACGCTTGCGCTGCGAATCATTGCGATTGGGTATAGGTTGGTGCGAAGGGCTTGAAGAATCTGGCATTCACGGAGCACCAGCTGGTAAGGTGATGTGCCAGAGATTTGGCCAGGACCTTAATGTGTGACTCTGCACTGGCCCTGGGCCCTAGTCGCCACATGAAATCAAAGAGCAGGGTGCTTGCTTCAGGTCGTCGCAAGTGCTGGACGTAATCGTGAAAAGTGAACACGCAACCAAATTTCACGAAGAGATCGATGTACTCGTAGGGGCACAGAGCTGCGGTCTCTTATTCCCCGATGCACAAGACATGACTGTGTCAAGTTCCGCTTGAGTCTTCGTGAAATGTCTTCGGAACGACTTGTTGAAAGGCTCTGTTTTCCGGTGGCGGTGGAGGGGTCAGAGCATGTGCAAGGCATGAAGGCCCTGGGTGAAGAGTTCCGCGACATTGCAGATCCAACCGAATGTGTGGCCCAGTGTGACAAGGCCAGGATTGTCATGCTTGTATATGCTTGTCAGGCTTGTGCGCTATGAATCCAGCAATAGCAATGCAAGTTGCATGCGTTGCCAGGTTTATCCTGCCAAGAAGGCCTTCTTTGATTCCTGGGGCTACCATGCACTTGTTCAGAACAAGGTGGCCAGTGAAACTCTAGTCAATGTGAAGGCCCAGGACACGGTGGCGCTTGCATCGAAGCCGGAGAATCCCAGATCGCCCGCTAGACATGTTGCTTTGACTTACTCACTGCCAACTGAAACTCAGTGAGTCGTGCCAGGCTTCCCCAGAAGCGCTGACGCGAAGGTGCTGAATGACCCAACAGGTAGGTTTGTCACGCCTTGAGCACTCTGCTGCCCTACAAGGGTGGAGCAGGAGGGGTTCTGTGGATGTGCGCTGCTGCACAATGGCATTGATAAGCATGTCCCCACGAACTCGACCCCGCACCGAACCACAGTGTCACAGGCATTTGCTGTGAAAAATGGTTTTCAGGGGCAGCAGTGCTATTCCTGATGCTATGTAGGCTGAGAGCATCCACCAATGGTGACGCTCGAAGTCTGAATGAAGACTTCGGCTGAGAAGCGTGGAGCATCTTACCTATGACGAGTCCTCATGCTGTTAGAAAGGTGCAGCAGGGTTCAAATGAGGCAATTTGCCTCGTTGATTTATTGAGTTTACTTGGGGCATTGCGCACTTTGCTTTTGGTAGTCTTGCGAAATTGCGAAATAGAGTGAGTGCTTTGTGAAGTCCTCGAGGCCATCCCGGATCTCCTCGAAGAGCACAAGCTCGACAGATGCAGCACGCTGGGCTTCTGACTCAATCCTTTGTCAGAGACTCCCTAGCAGCCGGTCGTAGGTTTTCAGGTTTTTTGGATTAGAATGGCTGTTTTTTTAGGTCGCATGGCAGATGCTCTGCGACATGCCGCTTGCGAGCTGCTGCGGGACGACAAGGAGCCGCTGCTCGGCATTCGACTGACAGCTCAATCGTGTCTTTTCGACAGGAGTTCTTCCTTCCGTTCTTTCACCCAGTGGCTTCGACGAATTTTGGGGACTACTAACATGCTTCAGCCGAAGAGGATCGGTCGATGTATGCTGCGCTGTGACCCAAAAAAGCTGGAAGGTACACGAGCCCGACGGCACGGACAGCCAGCCCAGCTACGACAGGTGGGTGGCGGTAAAGAGGGGTCTTGAGAATCAGACTAAGAACTAGCCATAGCAGACTGCATTGAGGGGGCTTCTCGTCTTGGTCTCATGCATTTGTGCAGGGGTGCATGCAGAGGCACAGAGCCAGTTTGAGCAGGTGGGTGCAGTCTCTGCGCGGGCATGAGGAGGGTGCCACGCTCGGAGTGGTTTTGCATCCTGAGCTAGAGCATGCTAGAGCAGAAGCTTAAAGCATGTATATTCTTGTAAACAATACGAGAGAAATGCCGCAAGACGCATCCTTGCCACGTGGGGAATTTCCGTTGACCCTTTGCGTTAACGACCGGGCTGTGAATTTGAGAGGCCATTGTCGCTACTGCTACATAAGTGCCCGGCAGAAAGCGGAACTGGCTTGTTGGTTCGCTTGATTCTCGATGGTTCTAAGTTCTTTGTGCTGTTGTATGGTGCTGTTGTCTATGGGTGTTCTGTTGTGTGCTGCCGTCCAGTGTTGGTGCTTGAATTCATAACTAGACCTCCACCGAGCCTTGCAGCAGGCCACCCTTCGGATGTAGTTATTGTAAATTTTCACTACAAATCCACCTGTTGCCAAGAACAGGCGCTTATCGGGTGGAAGGAACCGCCATGAATAACTGATGTGCGAAGCGCCCGCCGGCCAGCAATGTCGGGGAACACTGGGGACTCTTGGTGCCTCTTCTTGCAAACTCGTGTCTTCCAAGGTGATGAGCTCGTCATTCTTGCGCTGGCGATGTTGTGCGGAATGGCAGTGCAGCCTGTGCCGAGCTTGTGCACCCCTGCGGTCATTTGTGCTGCTGTCAGGCATACAGGTGTTTTTGGAAACGCGCTGGGTTTGAAGGGGTTGTGGGCCTCGGTGGGCGGGCCTCCTGCTAAATTTCATTGCCCTTGTGGGTCTGCTGCAGTGCCTTGTGATCTCCAGCTCGTGTCCCGGCAGTTAGGTGCAGAAGAGTGGCTATCGAGTTCCATTGATGGATCCTTGCAATGCCAAAGAGTCCCAGATCCCAGCTTTGCATCTTGCCTCTTGCTTTCTGCATGATGCAAGCACATAAGGACTTGCGTGCAGTACAGGCATGCGCAGCAATATGAGGTCGTTCTTGGCATACTGGGGAAACGATGACCAGCACTGGGTCTGGCTTCAGCTTGGATCCAATATGCTAGATCCTGTTTTCACATGCAGTTGTTTCAGGTCCTGCAGTTCGCATCTCTTCTCAGGCCGCTGACAAAGTGAACTCTCTGGCTGCCTCTTCCAGGCAAGACAAGGCGACTGGAGACTGACTTGTTTGTCGCTACTGATGTTGCGATATGTTGCGATGTTCCTTGCTGACACACACACACACATTAGCTTAGCTTCCGCAGTTTATCTGAGGCATTCTCGTAGGACGTGGGCGTTGATTGTTTTCATGTGTTTACCCACTGCAGCAGCGAGAGCCATCTTTGGATCTTGAGGTGCTAGTCGAGTTGAGCGGCTCCTACAGCTACACAGCTTCGTTTGATTCTGAGACGTGAATAAGCACAGCTCAGTGCGGATGGCAGCGATGTCATTGCTATGACCTTTTTACAATCTACAGTCCTTTTCCTGTGCAACGAAGCAGGTCCCCTAAGTTGGGTCTCAGAGTGGCGTGGACATTCACCCGCACAATCATCTTGTTGCCCGTTCACAGAGCTCGTGGCATCGGCCAGGACAAACTAGCCTTTTTTGGCTGTGTGCGCAGGGTGCATGAATTGGCAGTGCTGTGTGAACAAAGCTGGAGATGCGAAGATTTCCTGATATGGAGTACGATGCTATCTTTCAATAGTTGTGTTGTGAAAGTGTTCCACTCGAGTCGCCACTCGAGTGTGGATTGTCGCGAATGAAGTGTCAGAGTAAGAAGGCAAAATGTGCAAGGCACGAAACAGGCTCAGATGGCAGCAGCTCGCTCACGTGCACCTTCTCTTCCTGAGGCCTCTGAGGATCCAAGCCAAACGGCTTCGATGGCTGCGAGTGAAGTGTCTTGGTTGATGATTTATGATTGAGTTCTGCAATCAGTTGCAAGAACAGATGCCAAGGTAACGACAGTTAATTCGCAACCTGAGACTTGGCTCGTAGACAGAGTCGCAGGCAAGATTCTTATTCAGGACTCGTCTGTGTCGGCTTTTCTCAAGTAGGTGAAGAAAAGAGAAAGGCTCGCTGGCGCAGAAAAGAAAAAGCGTACACACATGTTGTCGTTGTGCTATTTCCATTAATGTGTATCTTGCATGGCTGTGAGTTACAGGGCTTGCCGTGATTGATGTTTTCTTGTCTGGTAACGCCGTATATGCATTGTGATGCATCCCCCATGGCAGCTTCGAATCTTGCACGGTTTGACAAAGGAAAGGTAGCACAAAAATTGTGACGAAAGTGAACCTGTGCCGTACCCTTTGCTTTGGTGCTTGATGTGGTGCACCTGTAGTTGGCAGGAGGCAAAGATGACTCCATCCGAAGTGCTGGACGTTGAGGCACTTGACGGGGCAGATTTCGGGGCGAGCACCGAAGTAACTTTTGGACCCGTGTTCGTCTTTCGTTTGTGTAATCACGGGTTGGCCAAATCACGGGTTGCCTGGTTCAATTTACACACCCGACGACAGTGTACATGCAATATCCTTCATAGCGAGATACACGGCATACATTTATCCCCTGTAAAACATCAAACTCTTGGTTTAGTACAAGCAGTGTAGTCGAGAGCGATAAAGTGGAAAGGAACCCAGAGTAAGCAAGTAAGAGAGAATGTACGAGAGATTCGATTCGAGAAGAGGGGAAAGGAGGGTAAAGAGGAGACAGCGGGTCTGCTTGCTTAACTGGGTGAAGAAAGATGAAGTTGCCCGCGTTCCCTTGCCAAACCCGGGCATGGGGGCGGGTGTCGGCGGACTTGACTCACGAGATTTCAAGTACATCTCTTGGTGCAACAAGGAGGTGGACGATTCGCAAGTTTCGCGAGTGCGAGCTGATGCCAGCCCAACACTCATCTTGCTGAATTCTTTCGGGTTCGTAGCCTTCTCATGCGTGCTCACGAAAGTAGAGACACTGCAAGGACGGTGCAGGTTACCAAATCGGCTTGAGGTAGTTGACGTGGAGGACGGTTCCCGCTTTCTGGAGCTTGCCTTTGAAAATCTTCACCTTGCTGTTTGGCTTGCCATGCAGACACCGACCGCAGAAGCGGAAGAATTGAAAGGACTCATTTTCGCAAGCTGCCTTGGATCCCAGCTGTGAAGCTCCTTCTGTCCAAGCAAGCATATCAGGATACGGTGAAGGAAGCAAACGACCGAGGGCCATTCTCAGCGTGGATGCGGTGACCTGGCGGTGAATAGTGGACATGGCCATAGCTTCGACATGCTCAATACATTATGACATCGCTACACCCATTCGAGGACCCCGAAAGGTCGAAGTCAGTTGCAGAGGCTGTCGCCGAGGCCGTGGCCGAGTACTGGAGGCACCCGCTTGGCACCCGCTTTTCAGAAGTTCTGCGGCCTCAGGCGGTTGATGCTGCAGAGGCACGGATGAACCTTTGAACTTTCAAGGTGCCACGTGTACTTTTTGGTGCACTTTGCCTGCACTTCACATGAGGCTGCAGAGGCAGCAGAGGCAGAAGTGGAGGCCATCATGAAAGAGGAGGCAGCCACTGGAAGAAGTCATGCAAAGGACCAAGTCCAACTAACCCCCTGGAGACCGCAACAGGTACTACGTCGTGCACTTCTTGATCCAGAAGGTGAAGCCAGAAGAAGAAGGGTGCAGGCTACTAGGGCTTCTGGGGAAAGCACTAGGCATCCAAATCTACAACGCTGTGTCTTCAGCATCCTCATGAACCAATGCTATATTTGTTGCTACGCCACTTCTTTGCAAGTCAGTGCAGCCTGCGTGACAAAGAATATCTCAGTCAAGGCATCTATGTAGCTGCCGTTGCTGCAGCCGAGAATGTTTCTGATGGGGAGCTCCTCCTTGACCCGAGTAGCTTACTTAGCACTGCGTCCCTCAAACTGAGTCCCAAAGTTTTCCCCGTGATCACCCATTGTCTTACCCATTCTAGCCGCTTTTCAGAAAACCGAGCTCCGTTGGAGGGTTGGGGTTCGCCTATGCTCCCTTACCACAGCGGACCGCATGTTCTGTCGAGTTCAAGTTCTGTCGAGTTCGCACAAATCTGAGAGACTCGTAAGCTGTTATTTTGTGCACTTTTGCGCTGCTGAATTCGGCTGCATTCCATTCTGATTTGTTTGCTCCAGGCAAGGAAGCTGAAAGGCGGCCGCTGTCCAAGCTATTCCAGGGACGATCTTTTGCTCCGTTTTCCAGCTCTTGTATTTTGTTTGCTTTTTGGGAGTTGCTGAAATCCACGGCTCTTTGTTTGATTTCTTGCAAGGCAGAAGGAGATGGAACTTTGCGGGCCGAGCGGGCCGGGCCTGCGCCGGAGACGACCGCTACCGAGAGCACGAGGAGTGCTTTATGAGCCGAAGACACTCAAAAGAAAGACATTCGCTCATTCGCCCACGTTCGCTCATTCGGCTTTCCTCCGACATCCTGATGCGTCTTTCGCAGGTCGACTTGGAATGTCGCAGAAAGCTTGCTTTCCGTGCGCGTGGACGTCTTCGAGGTGGCAGTTGCGGTGTGTTAATGCCCTGCACTCCGCCTGTCCGACTGTCCCTCGAAGGATCCATTGAGGACCAAGGCGACGAGCGGCAGCATGGCAACGTGACCAAGCAAAGGGAGGAGCGACGCAGATCGTGGCAGTGCTTTCGCAGTGGACATCCTTAACTCCAGACTCCAGATGCCAGGCTGTGAAACTTGCCTCATTAGCCTCTCACCCTGGAGCTCAACGTGCTTCCAGCGCACCTGCAGGTCTGCAGGACCCAGAGCACGGCATCACGCCATCATGCATTCTAGTTGCATAACGTCGCTCACGGCATGGCCTTGCAGCACCAAGAGGAGCGGAAGCGTCCTCTCGCCAAGCGAAGCCCCAGAAAGGCATTCGAAGACCACATATGGTTGGGTGAGGTATGGCGGGTATGGTGAGGTGATGTGAGGTGTTATCGTGCTATGCCAAATGAGAGGAAACGTGCCAATGCAGCTTAGAAGGTGAATCCAACTGGCCGTCGTGGGAGAGGGTGCGGGACCAGCTACATGATGTGTGGCTTTGCTACAATGTACATTGGCGCTGCCGAATCGGTTGGAACAGGTCTGGGCGTGGACAGCAGAAACGACTCAGGACGGTTTTCGAGAGCTTGCAAGGCTATTGTCAATTGTGTCTGCGTTCTGCCATCTTGTGAGGCTGCCGCCCATCGATTTTCCAGAGCTTCCCATACTCATAGCAGACGGCGATGACCAAGCTGGGCCCCCAGAATGAGAACACCTGAGAACTCCTCTCCAAGCTAACGTTACTTGAGGACCTGATGCCAGAAGCTAGGACGGGGAGTAGGTCAAAAGATGTCAACCGCCTCATGGTCGCCAATCCACGCTACCAGTGGCAGGACACGCGACCTCCCAGTGGTCATTCAAATTGATCGCGAATGCCGGCAGGCCAGGACCGTTGCAGCGCTGACATTGAGAGATCAACTTTTGTCAGGCTGCACCGGATGCTGGTGTCGGAAAGGGAGGGGGGGGGAACCCAACCAGACGATCTCCACTGCATCACGACGAGATGGATCCCAGCTCAACCACATCGCAAACGGCGATTGATATTTTTCTGTATGGACGACAGGGTCGTTTTGTCGACTAGCAAGCATGGCGGAATCCACATAGTGTTCCTAGTTTCTCCGAGGGTGGGTGGCAGGAGGCCACCGCGACCGCCAACACCAGCATCCACCTTTTTGTTGGAATGAGTTTCGGTTCAGTTTGCTGGCCGTTCCGGAGTATTAAGTGGATTGTGTTCCGGTTCAGATTTTCCCGGTTCATGGTTTCGGTTCCTATTCTTGTATCCGCAGCCGATGCACTCTTTGAACTTGGAAGTTGATGCAGCTGCCGTGATGGACCCAAAAGGGGTGATCCACCGTGAGGCCAGGGCTGCGGAGTTGGAGAAGATGCGTGGAGACCTGACCGCGGAGCTTGAACATGTACGGAAGGCACACCGAGCTGTCAACGTACATGTGCCATCACGTGCTTGACTTGTGTTTCGCTGACAGCGCATTATTCAGGAGAGGCATGACGCGGCAAAGGAGTTGCGCCAATGCTGTGTCGCAGAGGTCCGCCGTGTATCAACTAGTATCACAAAGGGCGGCAAGCTTTTGCAACTCCTTTGCCTTCTTCCAGGCTCAGGCTGTGGAGCAACTTCGACAAGCTTTGAAGGCTGCCTTTGGTAGCATTGAGGACGAGTGACTGGTGTTGGAAAAGAGTTGAAAAAGAGCCCTTCCTTGGTGGTGTTGCAGGGTTAGCTGTCCTGCGGTGCACGTTTTCAACGATGCCTGTGACTGTGCTGTTGCTGATTCGTTTTTCAGAACATGTTGTGACCTATGTATCTCGACAGGGCGGATTATTAGTGTCGCAATGTGTCGCATTGACTGTGCATCTTGCAGCTCTGATTTGCACGGTTTTGCACGAGATTGCACGCATTCCAAGAAAACTTTTGAAGCTTTGCCTGCCATGGCCGTGAACCCTCTCCTGGCACAGGCAGCGTTCAACATCCACATCTTCCAGATTATAGGTTTACTAGACTTACCATGACTTACGTGATACTCTGTACAATGTCCAAACCGAAGGATGGGGCCAATCATTCGCTCTTCCCGATGCCGGAAGCCGGAGAGGCAAGCCAAGACTCGAAAAATTGCCCCGGTGAGCGCACATGCGAAGCAGAAACGTATGTTCTAGTTACTCTAGTTCTCGCTGGAATATGTTGAACGTGTCGAGGCCTTTGTGCTGAAGCGAGACAACATTGATTTCGAGTGCTCACTTCCACGTGGTGGTAAGCTTTGGGGCAGGCTTTGCCGTCAGTATCAGAATCCTGCAATGTCATGCTGTGCTCGCGTGCTTCGGCAGGGGCTCCTTCTTTCTGTCCTCCAAGCGTATAGTTTTTGTTGCCCTGGCTGATGCCCTGGACCTGAATGACTTCATAACTTTATCACTGTCAGATGTACAGAACTCGCGCCCCAAGGACAAGTCGTGTCGTCAAGATTTTCGATCCTTCTCGATCCCACTTCCGACCCTCAGGCCGAGGGGTGTCCGAGGGGTGTGGGGGAATGCTTGATGCTTAGAGACTTTAGAGACTTAGTTGCTTGTCCGAAGTCTCCGAAGGGCTTGGTGGCAACTTAGGCAACAAAGTCGCTGGCAACCATGAGTCTGAAATCTCCGTTAAGTTATGCGTGGAAGACCTGCAGGTCTTCTGCGTCAGTAGGTGTCAATGCAGATACACCGCAAATTGAAACCTCGAATCGGGCAGGAAGCCCAAGTTCGAGCAACCAATCTTCGGCCATGCTCTCGGAACGTGCATCTCGGAACGTGCAAACATTTTTGCTTCGAGGCTGTACCATGCTAGTACCATGCTGTACCGATGCGTCTGTGCACATTTGGACGAGGTGCAAATTATTTGGCGGGCTCGACGCGGCCACTTCCTGGAACAGAAGCTGTGCCCAGCCAAGGAAGCAAGCAAATCATGAAGAAAAGACCGCACTTGAGTGATGCAATAAAGCCGGACAGCGACTCAACGACAACCAGCTGTGCACCCACTGCACCCAGGATCAGACGGCAGCTCCGTTGTTAGGTGGAGACACGGCCGGGCCCTTTTTATCGACTCTTTCCGAAGAATCAGCGAGACCTACCTTCGACAGGTGTTTTACTTGACTTTTCGTGGTGGAGGTTGCAGAACTGGCCTCGGAGTGGCCGCGCGCGTTTTGCCGTCCAGACTGATGCTGAAAATGCTGAGATACTTTTCTGCAGCTCCTTTTCCAGCTTCTTTCAGAGGTCCAGGCAGCGTGTCAGTTTCTAAGCAGGGCCGTGTCTCAGCTGGCGAACCTCTCTCCGGGCAGGCACAGAACACACCAAACACCATTGTGCCGACCTCAGCTGCATTTGCAGCTGCCCTGCAACGTTCGGCAACGCTCAGAAACTTTATGTTGACAACTATGTTGAAGCATGTTGACGTACGCACATGCAGCACCCAGAGAGAGGTAGGGAGGGATGGGGCGAGAGAGAGAGAGAGAGAGTGTGTACAGTGGCGCAGTCGTTCAGGCGCAAGCTGCGCAAGAGGGCCGCTTGAATCAGGCGCAAATGATACGTACGTTGGTTGCTGCAGCGAAGTATACATTAGCTGACGGCGGAGAAGATGAAGACAGCTCCCCACATCATTTGCTCAAATTTGCTCACTGTGTGTCGCGTGTGATTCTCAAGCTGTTGTATTTAGCAGAGGTGGCCTACGTGGACCCCAGCGATCCATCAGTGCTGTACCTTTCGCAACCCACTGCCGTGGCGGGTTCAGAGGCCTGTGGAGCCCTTTCAAGCTTGTGAAGATTTGTGAAGATCTATGAAGATCTATGAAGATCTATGAAGATTTATGAAGATCTGTGAAGCATGTGAAGCCCAGTGCGGTCGAAAAAACACCTCCGTTTTTTCATCACCCGAGAGGTGTTTTTGTATTTCAAGGCCAAAGCGACCAAGCAAAATGCAGAAGTCCATGTGTATCACATGTCAGTGCTGGCATAGCGGAACGCAGACTCCAGCGCTCAATGGGGCTTTGGAGCCTCCGACGGGCGGAATATGCCTTCAATAAGAACAAAGGCAACACTTGCGAGCCCAAATTTCAATTCTCGCACGACTCTGGAACCCCAAACGTGGAACAGCCGGCGAAACGTGGAACAGCCAGCAAACTTGCACTGGAATGCGGCCCGTCACGCGAGCAAAAGTGTTTTAGGTATAGTGGGATGCAGCCTCAATACGCCAAGAGGCCCGAACAGCACGCAAGCTCAGGAAGCATCACGGCACCCAGGACAGCAGTGGCCGCAAAGCGGGTCGCGTCGCCTTCAATGTCGAAAGACACAGTACATGCGGGCGCTTTTTGGCGAAACGTGTCGCGATCTGTTTGTCGACAAGCGGCTGCAAAACCTTGAAGTGCAAAGTGTCGGGGGTTGTAGGTTTTGGGGTTAAGGATGGGCTGTGGATGATCGAACTGGTGATTCGGATTGTGCGTTCTACTCGGATTTTGCGCAAGTCTACGCGAGGACAAAAAATCTCAAAAAATGTTTGACAAGGGTCTTGGGCTGTTTCAGTATTGTTTCTGCAGCAGTGAGGAGCAGACGAACTTTCAGATGGATGCTCCTTCAGCTCCTCCGCCTGAAGGCACCTGTAACAGCTTCTGTTGTGTGCGATTCCCAGCAAGTCGAGGATCCGATATGTTAGTGTCAGGGCAAGCGCCGCCTGCACGTGGTGGCGGGAACCAGTGCGCAGTTAGTTAGAGCTCTAGAGCTTGTGGCAGAGCCTGCAGGAAACCCATTGTTTCACTTCGTCGCGAAAAGCCCGCCGATAGAAGGAGGTGTTTATTGAACAGTTTTTCGAGAAGTTTGCCGCTTCGTGGCCCCCGCCTCGGCCAGAGCCCTGAGCAAACGTAAGGGGCCCAGCGAAACCAAACAGATTTGACTCGTGCCAGCGAAGCAAAAACAGTCAAAGAACGGGGGCGGTCCCTAAGGCATCCTCAAGATCTCAGAGTCTCGTTCAGGGGTCCCCGGGTTGTCCCCTCAGCCTCCAGTTCCCCAAGTTTTCTTGCCGCTGCCTAGAGCTTCCCTAGCGGACGAATCTCGTTCACGTATGCCTCGTCCTGCAGCGCCAACCAAGAACTCATCGTCTCCAAAAAGCCGTGCCAAGTTTCGATTTCTCGCATCCTGTTTCTGCTCATCTCTTGGTGGGCTATAACATTTCTCTGCACGGTTGGCTTCTAGGGGTCCAGGCGGTGGTCCGACGGAAAACAAAGATCCGGAAACTGGAAATTTCGTTTGGACCCAGGGCTCGGGGCTTCAGGTGGCAGAGACCCCCCATCCCGAAGACTTTGAAAGGGTCCCAGATAATCATGAGGCCCGGCTTGCAGAAGAGTCCGCTGTCTGAGAGGCCCCCATCGAGTTTATTGCGGGATTTCTAGGTTACATTTGTTAAGGGGTTTTTCAGGGGTTCTGGGCCTTCTGGGGTCTCTCCAAAAGCCTCAGCTGTTCCTCGACCAATCCCACGGAGGAAAATTCTCCTGTCGGTATTCAGTGCTGGATCGTGTGCGAGCCTCTTTTTTCAGGAACTTTCAGGGACCTTTGTTGACTTTCCTCCCCAATTGCGGTGGAGAGGGACACCGGCGACCTGTTGTCGGCTTTGCTTGGAGATGACAAAACGTGCTTTAACTGCACACTATTTGCAGTCGTCATGTCAAGGGCAGCGTGAGCACAAGGCAGGACAAGGACAATAACCTGAGGAGCAGCACGTTGTTTCATGTTCTTTCCATCCTTCCTGGTTGTTTAGCATGGTGGCAAGTCCCAGAGTGGAGGTGCGAGCCGCAGATGCTCATGTCTGCGCCGTTTTATGGAATATTCGGGGACGCCTCTTCTGTGTGCTAAGCAGACAGGCCAAGCAAGAAGACTGGGTTTCTACACTGGAAGAGATGCTTGAGGACATGCCTGCGTTCTCACGGGGGCAACTCAGCGCAGTTCTGTGGCGCCCAGGAGGTTCGCTTATCAATCTTGAAGGACCTTGCATGACAGTACACATCGCAGCATCAGAAAGACAATGGATCCCCCCAAGGACTCTGCCACCGATCTCCTTGATGGCGATCCACGGCTGCAGACAATCTTCGAGCGGCTGTCAGAGAAGCTGATGGCCCCGTCCCGAGTGGAACACAAGCCATGAAAACAAGCGCGCTTGAGTTGCTTGGACTGCGCTGCATTTTGCTTTGTGGCAGGAGGCCCCCGGCGAGGGTGGCAAGGAGCTTGCAGAGGCCAAGTCTGCACAAAGGTGGGCACCGGCTTGTCACTGCCATATGTGCTCAGTGCGCTCGGAGCATGAGCTGTGCTGGCAGCATGCGCTGGTATTGCACCAGGTTGTGGATGAGGCGCACGGCCCATGTGCAGCTCATGCACAGGCAAATTTAGAAGTGTTCAAGAGCCTTGAAGACTATAGCTTGCTTGCCGCTATCTTCGACCGGAGCTGTCTGTATCGTTTCAAGTCGAGCAATGCATCGTATTCCAGAGTGTGCCAGACAAGAACGAGTTAAGAACTCAACGTGATCCTCGAAGCTGTCTAGAAGCAGGTCTGTGATCCTCGCAGCCAGCAGCTGAACTAGCTGCTAAAACCGTTTAATATCGTTTATCTAACATTCCTTGCACCTTCCACCCATGACTTGCAATGCGGCGCCGTGAGCAAGTCATCCATGAACTCAAGCCCCCGAAGCGATCGCCGCTGTCGATTGGTGTACCTGGACAAGGAAGAAGCGCACGATGAAGCGCATGAAGACGCATGTGAAGACGCAACAAAAGGCGCATGAAGAGCAGTAGAAGCCACACCAAGGTATGCTCGCGATGACCGGCTCCAGGCGCGGCCCGGGTCACCCCCCCCCCCCTCGCACTCGAGGTGTGCAGCAACCGCAGTTCCTAGCTGCGTGTGCTCACAGATGCATCTACGCGCAATTGACCTGGTGCTAAGGCCCCTGCCGAACAGCTGAAGGGCAGGATCAATGCACTGGAGGAGGTGGCATTAAGAGCTTGAGCCGTTCACGGTCTGACTGTTTGAGCTGAGGAGAATCGCCAGCTCGCGAGCTGCAGCGCGAGCAGACTTAGCCTCCCCTCAAGCCAACCCTCATGTCCTTCTGAAATGCCAGGCATCTCGCAGATCAGAAGTTCACAGCGAAGCATCCTGGAAGGTTGCTGCTGTTGTGAAACTTTGAGAGACTGAAAAGCTCATGAGAATACCGCTCGAGCGACAGGTGCTGCCACATCTTTGTCGGCAAACTCGGTTGCAGGGGATTCCTCACTGCGTGGGTCGGACGAGAAGAGGATTGAATGTGACTAAATGTGAACGAAGTTGAACGAACGTGAACGCATGTCAGCGCATTTGAACGAGTTGTCGGGAGCTCAAAGTGCTCAACAAAAAGCGCGTGGCAGGAGCTTCTTGTCTGCCCAAGAGAGGTCTGCAGCTCGCATATGTTTGCATGATTGCTGCTAGCATTGTTTTGTTGAAACACGCTGAAGCTACAGGTCAGAGGCTGCTTCAAGCAATGAAGCCTCAATCTGAGATGGCGAGCAGTCGCGATCGGCACTGCTTGGAGCATTCGTGAACATTCAGGTCATCGTGCCTGCTGCACCTGCTGCACCACCGAGTGTGCCAGCGCAATTGCCAAGACAGGACCATGAGTCACGAGCAGTTTCAGCATGCAGTTGGCAGTCTTTTTTTGTGTGCAGGTTGTGATAGAGACACCCCGTGTGGCTTCTCAGCTGCAAATCAATCCCCCCTCCCTCCCTTTCAGCGTCTATTTCCACTACGAGTAGTACTCTTACTATTGCTACTATTATTGTAACGCCGATTTCTACAACCACTACTGTACCGACTTTACCACATGATTATGTCTATGATGACTATTATGACTACTACGACTTTCTGTGACTGCTATAACTACGAAATGACCGTTATGATTACTTAGTTACTATGACTTACTATGACTTACTATGACTTACAATGACTTACTATGACTTACTATGACTTACTATGACTTACTATGACTTACTATGACTTGCTATGACTTACTATGAGTACTAACTATGACTACTATGACTACTATGACTCCTATGGCTACTATCCCAGAAAATAATGAACCATGCTGAGCTAGCTAATGCGCTATGCTGTGTTGAGCACTTTGAACAGAGTATTGGGCAAGATTGAAACCCTGAGAAAATGGCATTTGATGACTAAACGTAAAGCTAAAGCTGACAGATTCCCTAGAAAAGTCAGTCATCAGAACTTCCGGTTTACTTAAACGGTTGCCTTCATCATGCTCACACCCGCGAGATTACATGGCTTCTTTCACGTGGAGTGATGCGGAGTGCAAGGCTCAAAGCCGCAGGCATGACTCAAGCAGACGAGTGCTGTTGCAAAGTGCTGAAAAACCCAACGCTTGTTCATGGAGTGCCCTCTTCATGCTGGCACCAGACCAGGTAGAGGACGAAAATGCCACCTCTTGAACCACGGGTGTTGTTTTTGCCCCCCATGATGTTTTTACCAAGCAGCAGGTTTCATAGTTATTTGCTTGAGTTTCCCAGGATGTCAGAGATGAGCTCAATTGATGAGCCGGTTTCCTTGCATTGGTGTGCCTATACCATGAGAAGTGGACAACTTTGCGTGCCGCCCCGTGTGCCTTGGCTCTTCTAGACAACCTTGACATTGGTGGATCTTTGTGGTGGGGATTTTACATCTCAACACGGTAAGTTGTGTGCGGCGGGGTTGGCACTTGGCTCACCCCTGGGCCGGTTGCACTCGTCAGGGTTGTTCTGCCTTTGTGGGTAGGGCTACTTCTCAAAAGCAAAACGGATACCGGCATCGAAATATTCTCAATTTCGACAACTGCGGTTTGTGGGCAGCAAGCCGCATCGGGAACCGGGTGGCCACGAGCCTGGCAAAGCAGAGCCACGTGGCATTCAGAAAGCGAACGCCTGCAACCACCAGCCTTTGCCCATTGAAGGCGGCAGGACTCTGCGGTCGCCACTTTGTCCATAAGGGGAAGTTGCCGAAGCTGTTCTTTCCACTACGGCCGTCTACTGCCGTCTACTGCCGTCTACTGCCGTCTACTGCCGTCTACTGCCGTTTACTGCCGGGGCAACTGGTGGATCGTGTAGTGTCTGTGCAGGCTTGTCAGAGTGAGCAGTTGTTCTGTGGCACGTTGCAACGTGCACAGAAGCCTCCGTGAAGCAAAGTTCGTCCGTCCAGCAATCGCTTCTTCGCGGGCTGACAGGCATCATTCAGCTGACCCTACGGCAAACCGACTGCGTAGTCTTTAGCCCTACACGACGTGCTTCCAACGTGAGCATGTGTCGATGTGTGTAAAGGAGCGCTCGACTCAAGACTACGTAGTCAACCGCATCTAGATGCAAAGAACCCTAAGTTAAGCCCGTAGAAGAAGAGTAATCATTCTAAACTCCATCCCATTGTTTCTTGTCGTCCTGCGAAGCCTGAGAAGAAGAGAACAAAAAGCAGAGAATTATTTTAAGTTCCACCTCCATCGTTTCGTCCTGTGAAGCGTGGAGAAAGAGTGGAGAATTATTCTGAATTCCACCTCCATCGTTTCTTGACGTCCTGCGAAGTTGGTAGAAGAAGAGAAGAGTGGAGAATTTCTCTAAATTCTCCAGCGCCGACATCAAAACTAGATATGCTACAAAATGCGCACTGACATGGCAAGTCTTGGAAACCGCCGACATGCCAAAAACATGCGAAGACATGCCAGCCGACATGCCCAAAAATCATGCGCGGAGCGCTCTAGAATGTATTTAGAAGATTAGGAGCCCGTGAACAGTTTCTGAGTTCAAAGCACTTTTCAAGCTGCCCTAGTTCGACGTGCTGCAATTTGCAGCGTTGCGAGCTTGGCAACAGCCAGTAATTTACAGAAAGTACAGCGTTTGAAGCAATTTACAGCTTTCGGAACCTGTCAACAGACAGAACTGCTGTAATTTGCCGGGGTTGACTTCGAACAGGAACGTGTCAGGACTTCGAGCATCATCGCATAGCTTGACACGCAAGTGACAAAATTTTCATTTCGCTGCGATGTCTCGACCGCCCAGGCCATGCGAGAATCAGGACTTCACTTCCTTGTTTCCCAGCTCCACAAGTCAATGTTGTCTGCACTGTTGAAGGACCTTCAGGGTGCGTGCCAACACCTGGCCCAAAATCGTCAAGCCCAACCCAGGCAATGAAAATGCAATCCAAACTGTCAGTGAGGGAAGCAAAGGCAACTGAGGCTTGCAGGCTTAAATCAGTTGCAAGAATTTCCCAACACTTTGCATCTTTGAAGTCTCGCGCGTGCCAGGCACCTGTTCCAGATGCTTCGTGGCGCCCTACGGACATGAAAAGCCCCCTTATTTCGAGGCTGTTCGCGAAATTCCTGCTGAGGTCTTTGAATGCCAGCACCGTGAGCTGTGAGGCAACCTTGGTCTCTGATCAGGCCGTACAAGCCCCGATTGTGCAATGGCGTGTTTTCGCGAAAAGGGGCGGATTACAAAGAGATTCGCAGGATGCCTGCAAGAGATTTGAGGCCAGCACCATTCAAGCATCGCCGGCATTGAGCCACGCCGCAGCACAGGCTGAGTGTGGCGGGGGGGACCACCTTACCCTCCGACAGCGACATGACTTTCTGACTCTTGTGGTGCTGTTTCACGACCTTTACGACCTTTGCCTACATTTTTCCTGACTCTCGCCTCGTTGTTTCCATACGCAGCGTGTGAACTTGGTGAGTGCAGCAGAGGCAGAAGCAAAGGCTTCCTTCTTGGAAGCCGCGTCCAAGCGTGGCAGCGGCTTTGCAGAGGCAGCGTGGCCCAAAGTGGCTTGTCCATCCAAAAAATCCCAAATCACTGGCGCAGTACGTCGCGATGTGTGGTGGAACTGTGTGGAACCCTTTGAAGGTGTACAATGAGCTGCTGAGCTGCGCGTTGCAGGTGTTTGAGGCAGAATGAGGCAGACCTCTCGTGATCGGTGAAGGGGAGAAGCAAACTCTTGCCCAGGCTCGTGCAACAGCGGCATCAATGGAAAAGGAGCGCAACCAGGTGCCCCGAAGTGACAAGGCTCTTGTTTTGGTATCTTGAGTTTCGGTGTCTCAGGCTTCAAGCGAAGCACGGGAGCTTCGAGCCTGCAACGCTCGTTTGGAGGAAGCCGTATCCACTTTGCAGGAGCTGTCCAGAAGCATGCCTCCTGCATGTACCTGCACACTTCTGCACACGCATTTACTTGACTCACTTGACCTATCAGGATCGCAACAAGGAGCTGTGGCAGAAAGAGTTCCAACGATGGAGATCAAAGTTGACCGCTCATGCTTGGGCGGGAGACCGAGCAATATGCAAATGCAAAATCCAAGCGTCCGAGGCCTGCCTTTCGACACCATCAGCCCGAGCGTGGAAACGTCACCTCGTCTGCATCTGTTCAGCTTCCCTGCTTCCCTGTTTTTGCACGAGGGAGGGTCCTTCGTTTCTCTCGTTCGTTCTCTCTCGAACTGCTTGCTCAGGATGGTTGCATTGGACCAGGCAGCCTGAGCAGTAGGATGCAAAACCGGATGCAAAACTACGCGGCTCTCTCTGCAGGCAGACACACTGTTTGGGCAGCGCCTTTGAGTCCATCGCCACGTCCTCGCAGCCTTCAATGCCCGGTGACCGCGACCTCAGGCACATCTGTACGTAATGTACACAGGCACACACAGGCAAGGGCCTGACGGAGGGGGCATGATGTGGCAACAGGTACACATGCTACCCTGCTGTACACATTGTACACTGACACAGATTGACTCAGTTTCGGTCCAGGTGTGGTCCCCAGGATGTGCCCGCTGCCGCCCATGCCTCAGCAGTGCGAAGCAGTACGAAGTAGATCATGACTGGACTTCAGTCACTCAGTGGCACCAGCGTGATGCCGTGAACAAAATGTCCACGAAGCAGTGTGCTCGTCACCAAGGGCTCGCTCCTCCTCAGGCCTTGCGGCCAGCGGCTCTGAAGCATTTTGAAGCATCTTGAAGCATGTTTTTGAAGCATCTTGAAGCATTTTGAAGCATCTTGAAGCATTTTGAAGCTGATGAAGCATGCTGAAGCTTGGAGCTACGCAGGGCTGTGGGCGCATGGGGGCCCATGATGCGAAAATTGCTGTCAGATCTCCCGCTTGCTGCCTCGCATGCTGTCTCGCATGCTGGCCACTCAGCCTCACAGCATGTTATACCAACTGGGAGAGACAGTCAGTCAGTGTTCTTATCGCAGTTGGTGTATCATAGATATGCAGGTTGCAGGTAGATACAGGCTACCGAAAAAGTGCACCGTCAGAGTCGCGCACTCCGAGAACGAGCTGAGGCACCATCGGTACCACCACTTACGCCCCTTCAGTCACCGAGGCTGGGCTTGCAAAAAGTACGTCAAATTACGTGAAAAAAGCCGTGTTGCGCGATTGTTTTTGTCCCTTCTGGAAACCTCAGGAGGGCATGGCCATCGGCTGGCCACGTCAGCCTCCCAGCATCTCCCAGCATCTCCCAGCATCTCCCATCACCAGCAGAGCTTAAAAGGACAAAAAGGTCAGCAGCTGTGTCGTTTCTGACACACTTGTCTTCATCTCGATGCACATACATGGCCATCACGAATATTGGCCGTTAGCTTATACGGAGACCCAGATTGCCACCAAACGGCTTCGATCCATGAGCGAACGTTGAAAGGTCACAACAAGCGCCGTCGCAGCATCACCTATGCAGCAGAGGCGATGAGCACAGTGCGAAAGCAAAGTGCTGCTGCTGTTTCGTGATTGTGGTTTTGGCTCTTGAGCTTGTCCCGTTAGCCTGATTGTTGCTGTCAGGCTGGATCTAGCTGCACGCCTTCCTCCTAAGGCAGGAAGTTCAGGTTGTCGCTGAGGGAGAGTCTTATTGCTGGGGATGGTACTTGCAAATTTTTGCACTTCGAAGGAGCAGCAGACACCGGCTTTTCAGCATGGCTGGCGATTCTTTCATCAGCTTAGCAAAGACGTCAAAGACACGCAGGCTGGGCCAATCTCAAACCATCAGGAGACCAATGTCAGCGAATCGAGACTGAAACTGCTCAACATTGAAGGTCAGCTCGCTGGATGGTTCTGCTAGGTGCTGACCTCGGTGTGGGATTTCGTGGGACTGCAGTGGGAGTGCCTTGGCATGCGTAGCACTGTCTACTTGACAACGGCTGCGGAGATGGTTACAAGGACCAATGCCCGTTTTCGGGTACTTGACAGTACCACAGCCTGCCACCCTGCTGAGTAGTCACCTACATGTGTCCAGCTCAGATAGTCGCTAGAGGCCTTCGAAAGGGCCTTGTCTTCCACTGTTGTTATAAGCAAGCAGACCATAGCCAGCACAGGGACTGGCGATTCTGTTTTGTGGAAGTTGTGATGTTATTCCTTCACAGGCCGCTCGAAAGTTTGCGAAACTAGCTGCTAGAGACTTTGCTCGTCGTGAAGGAATGATTGAAAACGATCAAATATCACCACTACCAGAGTAGGAGCATCACGGGCGTACGTTTCGTTGTGAAGTGCGGACGAGTGTGAACCGGGCAGGACCTGCTTGGGTTGGATTTCCCCAAAGCCTTGCACGAAGGTATACAAAGGTGGTGCGCGCATGGTGGAGGTACAGTTGCACAGCATGCAGAGCGGGAAGGACTTTGCTCACCAGCCGACAGTCTGGTGTCTATAAAGGTTGCTTTGCCTTCTCTCTTCACCAACAAGTATCGTACCTTCGACGTGATGGTGCTTGGATCGATTTTTCAAGCACCTTCCTCGCCATGGTCACCGTGGATCAGGAGCATGCAGCGGTAGTCACGTATCACGGCCTGAGCGGGGGCCAGAGATCGATCTGGTTGAGGCAGTGTCGTGCAGAACCGTTGCAGCCTTGCTATGTAGTGTCGTGCTCGACTTGCAAAGAAGCGTTGCTCGTGACAATGCGGAGATTGGGCCTAGACTCCTTTCTTGAGCAGTTGTGCATTGGGTCTTCAGTGGAATCAAAGCATTGCGTGAGATGTCTGAATGACGGGTCGAGGTGACAATCGTTCAAACAAGTGGGTGGTACTGGGGTGGACATCTCACCCAAAAGTTTGTTTCATGCACGTTTTCCATGAAGTGAGGCCCTTTTTGAACCTTGGCCTCTAAAGGATCCCCAAACCGTGAGTGTACTAGTGACTGTAGACATGCAACAAGCGATCGAGGATCGTGCTCGCGTCTAGGCGTGGGTGATCACGGGCGTGCCCGCGCTTGCAATCCTCAGAGCTGTCATCGTGTTTTTGTTTTTGGTATATGTTCTCCTCTGCTGTGTTCGCGACATGCGAAACTGTCGTCAACTTTGGCCGTTCGTGTTCGCCAAATGTCAAGCTTTCGCTTTCGTGGCTTTCTTTAGACATGCTCTTGATCCGTTGAAGTGCTCCGGCATATCCACATGGGTTGTCACTGTTTAGGTCTATGCTGGCAGAATATCTCATGACAGCAGTCCCCTTAAGTGCTTCAAAACAAGTGGCACCTTTTTATTCGAGTTGACAGGTTGCGGTAGTATATGGTAGTATGATACATTGGACAAGGTTTCAATCTGAAGTTCCTGCTCAGGCAACGGGCTTCGGCACTGATGCTGCAAACGAACAAGGTGGCTGCATTTTTCTGATACGGAGAACGAACATGTTCTTGGCTTGCTGTTGGCTTCCGGCTTCTGATGCGCCCAGGGGATGCCAACCGAGTTTCGAAAGAACCCCGCGGTGTGCGCAGTGTGGCGCGAGGCTCTGGGACCTGTTGAAGTTCAGATTGTCGCAATGATTCGTTTGGAGACATTGCCTGACCAGGCTTTGTTGGCTGGTGCCAATTCAGAACTTATGTCTAGTCAGCGGGCGTCTTACTGAAACCTTCATGTCTTGCTGCAGAGTTCGCTGTCTGGATCATGCAGACATCGGCATCGTGATAGCTCTGCATTCCTCTTGCTGTTGTTCTCTGAACGACAGCGGAAGGACATGTATCTTGGGCAACGAACAGCATAACCTTCGACAGCTCCATTTGCGCAGACCTAGCTCCAACATGGAAGATGCGCATGAGGCGGCACCCACGTGGTAGGTTGTGAATCCGTCATCGGCGAAAGGCTGTTCCAATTTGAGAATGTTGAAGTCACTAGTACGGCATAGTTCGGTGAGCACAAGGCAGAAGTTCATGTAAACGAGAAGTGCGCTACACAATGCTTCGAACCATGTTTGATACAGTACATGCATGCCACCCGACACGTTGAACAGTCGAGAGGACCAGAGACTCGAAACAAAACAGCACTCCAAATTCTGTTCTGGTCCGCATGGCCCCACTTTCGCATACAAAACAGCATCGCTTTGTTGGAGCTCTTCTGTGTAACTGAAAGCTTTTAAAGCCGAAGTCCTACCTAGCCATCGTACCTTGCCATCGTGCAAACCTGGAATGTCGCACGGATCATGAGACATGCATGTGGAACTATGGTATGCCGATACTGATGCATGGTGAGGTGTCCAAAGGGCTGTAGATGGAGGAGCATTCAATCACAAAGGGCGGTCGTCCATATTCACCACGCATGATGATCACGAATGGCCAGAGCATTCGGTAGTCTCTTCGTATCTCTTCGTAAGGAAATGTAATTAGCTAGTTGCTAGGCGGTTAGCGATGTCTTGCTTGTCCCTGATGATGTTTGGTGTGGTTGAATGCCCAGGTCTTTCAGCAGTAGTGACAGCATTGAGAGCTGACAGCTGCGAACGCTTCTGGGTCTCACAGCGGCCCACTTCAACTTTACAGCCCACAAGCCACAAAGTGGCGAAGAACCATGAAGAACCTCTTGAGCAAAGGAATTCCTTTTGACATTCGCCATGATAGTGAAGTGGGCTCACCTGGACTGCATGTGCGAAACAGCACACGTGCGGCTTGGGTGATGTAGGCAAATGTTCGATGGCAAAGCTGGGCTTCTTCTAGCGGCATGACGTCTACAATCCTGACTGTTGCTCTTAGCACATCAGCCTGCCATATTCATAGTCCGAGCTTTTGTGTTCAAGTCCAACCAAAGGGCTGTCATGGCAGCTAAGCAGAGGGTTCTTCTCCCATCTGACGCGGGGACCCCGGGCAATTGGCGCAACGATGCATTGTTGCTTGTATTTACTTGTCAAAGCACAGGTGCTTCCTGAAGAGTATGATCTCACTCTGGAGCCGGACCTGGAGCAGTTCACGTTTGATGGCACTGTCAAAATCACCTGCGACGTCCAAGTGGCCACCGACACTGTGAGCGTACATGCAATGGACCTTGTTCTTTCACAGGCAGTCTTCAAGCCATCTGGGTCCAGCTCTACGCTCAAAGCAGATGAGATCACAACAAAGGCTGTCTGTTTCTGAAGCTGGTGACTTGTGGAACGACTTAGGCAGCAGTCTTGACTGTGCTTGCTCATGTCCAGGCCAAGATGAAGACGGCCACAATTGGATTTGATGAAGTGCTGCCCGTTGGTAAGGGCGTGCTGGAAATCAAGTTTCGTGGGATACTGAATGATCAGATGGCAGGCTTCTACCGCTCGCAATATACGGTGCCCATTCTAAAACCAGCAGATATGGTTGCTTTGCCTTTTCCTTTTGTCAAAATGTTGGAAATCAGTTTGGGATGTGCAGCACGCCGTGTAAAGGATTCTTGTGGCAACAAGCGGTTCATGGCCACCACCCAGTTCGAAGCGATTGATGCTCGACGCTGCTTTCCTTGCTGGGATGAGCCTGCGAGGAAAGCGACATTTGCCTCAGACTTAGCGTACACGTGCCACCGACATGCCATCCGTCTACCTGCACAACGAGAGTTAGCCTGCGAGGCTAAGTGTTCACGTAATGTTACTACTAATGCTAAGCACTACTGACGCTATCGTACGAATATTAGTACTCTTACGACTAGCAATACTCGTACTAGTACTAAACAATATAGCATGAATAAGCCGAAGTACTTGCTAACACGGGATTTCAATATTCATATATTCTTAATACTACTCATGTGAGTAAGAATACGAAGTAGTTCTCATACCAGTAGTCATACCCCAAACAGCGCAGCTCTTAAGATGCGGGCAAAGAGAGCTCTCCAGCTTTTGAACCCATAAACAATGTGACTTCAATATCGCGCTCTCCTTGAGTCCTCCCGCATTCTCCCGCCTCGGGCCCCCCGGTGCTATCCCGTGTTAAGTGTTTTTTTGCACATTTGTGCACTTTTTGCATTTTCCTCTCTCAGAGGCTCCTTTTTGTTGTGTCGCGCTGGCCGTTTGAGAACATGTGCCTCAGGGAAGTTCTTCGGGCTCGTGGGGACGAGTACACTTCGGGCGTCTGCTCTAAGGGGATATGCATCTCGCTTAAGCCGGCATGCAATATCGGGCTTAAGGTTGCAGCCCCATCTATTCGTTGATATAATTATGATGTACGGGGGTGGGGTGCAGCCCTCGCCCAGTTGCGAACAGCATGATTCGAGGATGAGGGCACCCACATCTCCTTTGCATTTCGGGTTTAAAGTTGCAACCCACCCATGTGACAGACCCGGTGTCTTGCACCATTAAGAAAAGGGTTTTGAGGACGGTGAGTCCAGTCAATGGATTCGTAGCCTCGACAAGTTGACAAAGAGCTTGATTCCTGGCTTTGTGCTTTTGGCCTGTTGGTAAGGTCCCGAAGCGTGGAACTGTTCAATTATTATTGCTATTATGATTATTGTCATTTCTGATAGAACTAGAAGTACTAGGGCTAAAAGTACTAGATGTCGGTACTAGTAGTAGGTACTAGTAGCAGGTACTAGTAGTAGGTACTAGTAGTAGGTACTACTAGTAGTAGTAGTAGTAGTAGTAGTAGTAGTAGTAGTAGTAGTAGTAGTAGTAGTAGTAGTAGTAGTAGGAGTAGCAGTAGCAGTAGCAGTAGTAGTAGCAGTAGTAGTAGTAGTAGTAGTAGTAGTAGTAGTAGTAGTAGTAGTAGTAGTAGTAGTAGTTAGTAGTAGTAGTAGTAGTAGTAGTAGTAGTAGTAGTAGTAGTAGTAGTAGTAGTAGTAGTAGTAGTAGTAGTAGTAGTAGTAGTAGTAGTAGTAGTAGTAGTAGTAGTATTAGTAGTAGTAGTAGTAGTAGTAGTAGTAGTAGTAGTAGTAGTAGTAGTAGTAGTAGTAGTAGTAGTAGTAGTAGTAGTAGTAGTAGTAGTAGTAGTAGTAGTAGTAGTAGTAGTAGTAGTAGTAGTAGTAGTAGTAGCAGTAGCAGCAGCAGCAGCAGCAGCAGTAGTAGCAGTAGTAGTAGCAGTAGTAGTAGCAGTAGTAGCAGTAGTAGCAGTAGTAGCAGTAGTAGCAGTAGTAGCAGCAGCAGTAGCAGTAGCAGTAGCAGCAGCAGCAGCAACAGTAGTAGTGGGAGGAAGAGGAGGGAGGAGGAGAAGGAGGAGGAGGGGAGGAGGAGTCGGAGCAGTTGGTGGGAGACGAACGGTGGGACACCAAAGCAAATCTTGCTTCCCCACGAGACCTGTTGGAGGGAGACCAATGGGGCCTATTGGGTGGGACACTACAATAAATCTTACTTCCTCACGAGACCTATTGGCGGGAGACACACGGGGCCTATTAGGTGGGACACGTACTCCTCCTACTCCTCCTAATTTTTTGTTTTAGTATCCCACCCAATAGAGGAGTAGGAGGAGTAGGAGGAGTCGGAGGAGTCGGAGGAGTAGGAGGAGTAGGAGGAGTAGGAGGAGTAGGAGGAGTAGGAGGAGTAGGAGGAGTAGGAGGAGTAGGAGGGGTAGGACGAGTAGGAGGAGTAGGAGGAGTAGGAGGAGTAGGAGGAGTAGGAGGGGTAGGACGAGTAGGAGGAGTAGGAGGAGTAGGAGGAGTAGGAGGAGTAGGAGGAGTAGGAGTAGGAGGAGTAGGAGTAGGACGAGTAGGACGAGTCGGAGGAGTAGGAGGAGTAGTGTAGGAGTAGTGTAGGAGTAGTGTAGTGGTAGTGTAGTAGTGTAGTAGTAGTGTAGGAGTAGGAGGAGTAGGAGGAGTAGTGTAGGAGTTGAGCAGAAGTGGTAGTGGTAGTTCTGGTGGTAGTGGTAGTGGTGGTAGTTGACGGCGTGATTTTTTCTGCATTTCCATGGTCGAAAACGCCGGCAGGCGTGTGACTTCAGCAACATGTACATGCTTTCCGGGGAGGGCGGGGTTGAGTTTTGCATGTCGCGCTGACGCGCCGGCCGTTTGATTTCAAGGGTGCCTTCGAACTCAGTGGAGTTTAGGCTTTGCCCAAACCGTGTCAAAATCTCCAAGGCCCTAAAGCTTGAAATGCTTTGTCAGCGACAGCTCAAGAGTCCTGAGTCTCATCTGTAAACGTAACAGTGAGTCCAGCCATCTGTAGCACTCTAATGCAAGTCGAGTCATCTGAAAAGACTCTGTAAGTCGAGTCATCTGTAAAGCTTTATGCAAGTCGAGTCATCTGGTCTATGAATGGTTGTGTGCTCGTAGCATGGTGACATGGACGGTGCCGCAGTGCGACCCTGGATGCTGGGATCAATCAATGGCTGCGCTGGAGACATGGACGTTATCGCCGTTCGGCCATGGATGCTGGGGCCAATGAATGTGCTGGTAACATGAAGGTCGTGTCATGTCAAAGCAGATGTATCGGAAAATCCATCTCCAACCTAAACATTCGACCGCCCCCCCCCCCCTCCCCCCGCCCCCGAAAATGCCCAGCGCAGCAAAACCCCATGTGTGTAAGCGGCCAAGTGAGGAAAACGACACCGTCAAATACAATAGTAAAAGGTAGTAAAGGTAGTAAAGGTAGTAAAGGTAGTAAAGGTAGTAAAGGTAGTAAAGGTAGTAACGGTAGTTCAGGTAGTAAAGGTAGTAGGTAGTAAAGGTAGTAAAGGTAGTAAAGGTAGTAAAGGTAGTAAAGGTAGTAAAGGTAGTAAGGTAGTAAAGGTAGTAAAGGTAGTAAAGGTAGTAAAGGTAGTAACGGTAGTACAGGTAGTACAGGCAGTAAAGGTAGCAAAGGTAGCAAAGGTAGTAAAGGTAGTAAAGGTAGTAAAGGTAGTAAAGGTAGTAAAGGTAGTAAAGGTAGTAAAGGCAGTAACGGTAGTACAGGTAGTACAGGCAGTAGAGGTAGCAAGGGTAGTAAAGGTAGTAACGGTAGTTCAGGTAGTAAAGGTAGTGCAGGTAGTAAAGGTAGTAAAGGTAGTAAAGGTAGTAAAGGTAGTAAAGGTTAGTAAAGGTAGTAAAGGTAGTAAAGGTAGTAACGGTAGTACAGGTAGTACAGGCAGTAAAGGTAGCAAAGGTAGTAAAGGTAGTAACGGTAGTTCAGGTAGTAAAGGTAGTGCAGGTAGTAAAGGTAGTAAAGGTAGTAAAGGTAGTAAAGGTAGTAAAGGTAGTAAAGGTAGTACAGGTAGTAAAGGTAGTAAAGGTAGTAAAGGTAGTAAAGGTAGTAACGGTAGTACAGGTAGTACAGGCAGTAAAGGTAGCAAAGGTAGCAAAGGTAGTAAAGGTAGTAAAGGTAGTAAAGGTAGTAAAGGTAGTAAAGGTAGTAAAGGTAGTAACGGTAGTACAGGTAGTACAGGCAGTAAAGGTAGCAAGGGTAGTACAGGTAGTACAGGTAGTACAGGTAGTACAGGTAGTAAAGGTAGCAAAGGTATTAGAGGCAGAACAAATAGAAGTAGAAGAAGTATTAAAAGTAGTAAAAGTAGTACTCTTGTAAGCATAGAAAAAGTAGTACGAGTAGCAGTATTAGTAGCAGCAGCAGCAGTAGCAGTAGCGGTAGCAGTAGCAGTAGCAGTAGTAGCAGTAGTGGCAGTAGTAGCAGCGTCGTCGTCGTGGTGGTGTTCAGCAGTAGCAGCAGCAGTAGTCGTCGTGAGCCAAGACATGAGGGGTTGCTTAACGCTTCGACTGTCACTTGCGACTCAGAGTAACTCGCTGAGGTCGTGACACTCATCTACCCAGCGAATCTCACAGCCATCTCGAACATGCCTCCAAGCCGTTCTGAAATTCAGACGAATGGTAAACGAAGGCTGGGGAGTAGAATGGCGTAGCATGGCGTGGCATGATGGTATCAGGTGGTTTTTGTAAAAAAGGAGCCCTGTCAGGGAGACGTTTATGTCAACTCCCAGAATGAGCACCTACCTGTTGGCATTCTGCATTGGCGAGTTCGAGTTTATTAGTGACAGCACGAAAGGAGGAGTTCTGGCACGGATTTTTGCATGTCCGGGCAATGCTTCTCGGTGTAGCTTCGCGCTGAAGTGCTGCATACGTGCTCTGGAATTCTACAACGAATTCTTTGGAATTCCATATCCTTTGCCAAAGATGGATATGATTGCCATTCCGGACTTTGCGGCAGGTGCAATGGAAAACTGGGGTCTTGTTACCTACCGTGAGGTGGCATTGCTTTGCGATGAGTCCACTGTTTCCGCAACACAGAAGCAGCGAATCTGCACGGTCATTGCTCACGAGCTCGCGCACCAGTGGTTTGGCAATTTGGTAACGATGGAGTGGTGGGAAGACCTTTGGTTGAATGAGGGCTTTGCGAACTGGATGCAGACGTGGCTTATTTGCAACGCCACGCAGAATTTGAGACAGGATAGTGCTGGCTCTTTTTGTGTGGGATTGGGATCAGGTTTGCTTCTGACAAGCTCTTCCCTGACTGGCACATCTGGGAGTCCTATGTTGGGACAGAGCAGCAAAGAGCTTTGCAGCTCGATGCGTTGCGAAGTAGCCATCCCATACAGGCTCGATGCACGAAATCCCAGAAGGTGTGCGAAGCTCTGCACGCTTGAAGTGTGCGGCAAAGAACTAGACTCGACTGCTACACAAAGCAGGTACCAATCGGGCATGCTGAAGAAGTGGAGGAGGTTTTCGATGCAATTTCTTATTGCAAGGAGCGCATGGTTCGAATGTCCGTGGTTGTCCGAAAAACGCACTTGAAGCATTGTAAGCATGGATTCTTGCGTTCTCAGCGTGATGCGGTGATAGACGTAGACACGTCTCCAGTTGCAGGCATGTATCCAATGCATGAATTTGCCATTTTGCCTTCCTAATCAGGGGGGATCCGTGGTGCGGATGATTTACTCTGTTCTCGGCGAGAAGCACTTCCAAGAAGGTTTGCGACTGTACTTCGACAGGCGCAACCTGGTCTGCAGCACGTGCAGCACGTGCAGCACGTGCAGCACGTGCAGCACGTGCAGCACGTGCAGCACGTGCAGCATGGAACAATGTTTATTTCACACACACAGCCACACAGGCACACCAGGAAATTCCCGGAACAAGTTCTCAATCCTCTGGTAGCTCGCATGCCAAGCACACGAGCAAGACTCCCAGCCAGGAGACTAGTGGAATGAACGCCATGATTTACACTCCGAAGTCTATACCGACAGTGCTTTTTTGACCTTGATCTTCTGGCAGACACAAGTATGGCAACACCGTCACCACCGATTTGTGGAATGCTTGGAAGGAGGTGACTGTCGGGACGTGCTGTGTGGAAAACATGTGCCGCTGTGACTGCCTCCTTCTTCCACTCTCTTTCTTGCAGGTGTCTGGCAAGCCTATTGACAAGATGATGAGTTCATGGACGCAGAAGATGGGCTTTCCACTCCTGGAGGCACCTCATGTCACGAAAGCGTGCTCCATCCCAGCTGTAGCGGTTGTGTTCGTTTACAAGCGAAGTCTCCGGTGCGTTTTGGGAACACCTTAAGGCTTTACGGCCCTAAGGCTCAATCAATCGGGAGTTTAAGGGTGATACCGATCGGACGAAATGCTCAGGTGACCCAGCTTAGGCGCCCCAGGTCCCCCGGGAGCCCCCGCATCTTCCCGCAGCAGCTTGTGTTGCGAACTGGGTTCGCCCCAAGCCACAAGAATCTGGCGACGAAAGCAGAAAGGGGCGGATAGCCTCCTCGTTTGTGCCTGCTCGCTTTCGTGAGGGGCCCCTCCAGCTGCTGAAGCCACCCTCAGAAATTTCGAGTCGGGAGCCTGGCAGGTCTTGAACGATCCACTGGCTGACTCGTCCGGCGCTGCACCGACCTCGGTTTCGGGTTTGGCCAGCTGAGATTGAAGAGCAGAAGTGCAGAAGTGCAGAAGGGCAGATTTGCAGAAGTGCAGAAATGGTGTAGCTAAGGTGCAGATCCGGCAGAAATGGTTTCTGGCAGGCGGAGTCGCGTGGCATTGGCGTGGTTGTTTGATGACAAAGAGAGAATAGGACTGATGCGATTGTGACGAGATTTGCGACAGGGAGCTTTAGTTCAGACACAAGCGCAGTGCCGCAGTGTGCTGCAAGTTGATGATAGATTCCTTGGCCTTTCTGGCAGATGGCTCCAGCGAGCCAGCAGACGACGAGAAGACATGGTTTTGTCCTGTGATCGTTGGCACGGACAAAGGCACTGCGCCTGCTGGGTTCTTGGAGGAGAAGACTGGGAAGATTGCGTGCGCGGAGTGTCTTTCAGGCTCATCTCTTTCGCATTGTCGTTGGCGTATCTGATTCTAGGCAGCCAGGTCTGCGGGCATGTGCGCGCGCGTGTGTTTTTTTTCATTGTCATTTTTTAGCATGTATATGTGTGTGTGTGTGTGTGTGTGTGTGTGTGTGTGTGTGTGTGTGTGTTTGTGTGTGTGTGTGTGTGGGGAACACCTGTGTGCCAAGGTTTGGTCAAGCCGATTCAGTTCCGAAATTTTCCAGCAGGGGCACCAGGGGCACTCGACTTGGCCTGGTGCAATGAAGCTCCAGTCGAGATGCCAGGATATGAGGTCTGATCAACCTCACGTACCTGCAGATTGTAGGTGTTGCAACTTCAGAAGCCAAGTTTTAACGCAGAGCAGTTTGGCAATGAGGCCAAGCAAAAAACATCCAAGCTTGCATGTTGCAAGCAAAGGCTGCAAGCCAGCTTGACTAAGCTCATGCCAACAACACTCATCTTCACTTCCCAGGTTCATTGCTATCAACATCTCACGCGGATCATTCATTCATTCTCATCTCCGATGTTCATGGATATCAACATCTCACGCGGCTCATTCAGTCATTTCAAACCAAAGCATTCTTGAAAAGAATGCTGGAACAGCGTTAAGCAGAGATGTGATGCAACTCTCTGACTGATGGTGTGCGCCATTGGATTAGTCTTACTCTGTTTCTTCTCTTTTTCAGGAATCGTACAGGCGGTCAATAATCCTGCTGAAGATCCTTTGCCTCTGAAGTTTAGACAGACAGTGGGGTCACAGTCCAGAGGGAGGATTGCATGAGTGTGCTTCTAGACGGCTTTCGTCCATCGTGTCGTCTACGATAGGGCAGCCTATCGAAACGGCCTGATCGGCCCAGTACTTTCAAAGGACCCTGATCGGTCCAGGCCCTGATCGGCCCAACCAACTCAGACCCTGATCGGTTCAGTTCAGTACACGTACCTGATCGGTGCGCCAATTGCCAAGTCTCTGAGTCAGAATGACTTAGCTGCAGTCGGGTTTAAACATCCTCGGCGGATGTGCCTAAAACAGCGCAGCCTTGAGACCTGTTAGGCCTGGGCTCCGTTTCTGCCGACAGCTTGATTCAACATCCTCCCCTGGACGCTCAGCCTGAAGGTCAGAAGCAAAACAGCCAAGAGTCCCATTTACCAAGTTGTCCCATTAGCCCGAAAAGGCTACCCTGCTAAGCAGGGTGTGTGTGGGGAACACCTGTGTGCCAAGGTTTGGTCAAGCCGATTCAGTTCCGAAATTTTCCAGCAGGGGCGCCAGGGGCACTCGACGTGGGTCTGTGTGGGTCTGTGTGGGTCTGTGTGGGTCTGTGTGGGTCTGTGTGGGTCTGTGTGGGTCTGTGTGGGTCTGTGTGGGTCTGTGTGGGTCTGTGTGGGTCTGTGTGGGTCTGGGTCTGTGTGGGTCTGTGTGTCGGTGTGTGTCGGTGTGGGTCTGTGTGGGTCTGTGTGGGTCTGTGTGGGTCTGTGTGGGTCTGGGTCTGTGTGGGTCTGTGTGTCGGTGTGTGTCGGTGTGGGTCTGTGTGGGTGTGGATGTATGTAGGTGTGTGTGTGTGTGTGTGTCTGTGGGTGTGTCTGTGTGTGTGTGTGTGTGTGTGTGTGTGTGTGTGTGTGTGTGTGTGTGTGTGTGTGTGTGTGTGTGTGTGTGTGTGTGTGTGTGTGTGTGTCTGTGGGTGTGTCTGTGGGTGTGTCTGTGTGTGTCTGTGGGTGTGTGTGTGTGTGTGTGTGTGTCTGTGGGTGTGTGTGTGTGTGTGGGTGTGTGTGGGTGTGTGTGGGTGTGTGTATGTGGGTGTGTGTGTGTGTGGGTGTGGGTTCGGGTGTGGGTGTGGGTGCGGGTGTGGGTGCGGGTGCGGGTGCGGGTGCGGGTGGGTGTGGGTGCGGGTGTGGGTGGCGTGGGTGGCGTGGGTGGCGTGGGTGGGCGTCTGCGTTTTGGTGGCTTCGCTCGTGCTAAGTGCTATTTAACAATCTTTGCCAGCACTGGTGAGCTTCAGGTGGCTTTCATGCGCGCAATGTGTGTGTGTGTGTGTGTCTGTGAAAATTTCCGCCTCGGTTCGTGTGTGTGCACGACCGTCAGGTGCTGCCATGATCAAGGTCAATTTTGGACAGTGTGTGCCTCATATGTCTTGCTGTGCCATGCTGCACATCGCGGGGAAAATTAGCTGTCCTGGTTCCAGCATGCTGCTATAAGGCATGTTCCAGTCCGAGTTCTGTATCCTGAATCGGTCTTCAAGCGCCTGATTCAGAACTTGGGCAGTGTGCCTGCAGAAGACAAGATTGGCTTGCTGTCAGATACATTCGCCATGAGCAAAGCTGGAGTTTTGGATGCAGCTTTCCTGGTGGATCTTTTGGCTGGCTTCAAGTCTGAGTTGAATGACAAAGTGTGGTCAGAGATTTCCGCCGTTTTGGGGGGTCTCGAAAAGGCAGGCTCTGGTGCTGCAGCTTGTTGTGGTGATGCAAAGATGACCCCGCCACAGTACAGCCAGAGAGCTCATGAGAAGTCATCCGTCTCTTTTGCATACCATTAGCCTCACGAGCCGCCAAAATTGACCAGGTGGTGTGCCAAGGTTTGGCAGATGAGACAGCGCAAGCTTTCAAAGAGTTCTGCAGCAAGTTGGTAGTCCCTGCTTTCAATCATGTGGGTTGGGACACTTGGCATCAGAAGCAGGTTTTGTTTTTCAACAGTAGCTTAAGGAGCGGCACAGCATCTCACCAGCCTCCTCGTCGTCGCTTTGTTCTGCGGTTTCGGTGAAAACGGCGAAAAGCTGACAAAGCCAGCAAGATCGGTGACACAAACGCAGAGGTCTCAGCACCGACATGCGTTTCAACAGCCTGCAATAGCCCGCTCATTAATTCCATGACTCTGAAAGGCTGTACTTCAAATCGTCCTGGGCCTTCAACTCCAACACAGAGAACTCTTTCGCCACGAAAAAGACGTTCGGGGCTGACTCGAGACGCCAACATGTGTTTATTCCCCATAGAGAAGTTCCTGAGGCACACGATCTATGCCCTCCGAAGAAAAGTTTGACTGCGTCCGTGTCAGTATCGAGAGCTCCAAAATGACGTGCCGTGCTTCACTGAACATTTTGTCCACCGAACCGCTGGGCAGCAGCAGGTGCCCCAACTCGACTTCGGAATTGTACGCAATCTCGTGCTTATGCTTCCATGGCACCACCGATAGTCATGATGATGACGATGAGACCATGATGGTACGATGACCATGGCGACGATGACGAACTTGTGTCTATTAAATCATGAAGGGAGTTCGGTCATGAGTTGGCTCGCTTCCGTAACAGCTACTGCGAAGGAAGTTCATCAGCTGGGATAAGGTTGACTCATGTTGACTCTGTCCAATGCGGTCTTGTTGCGAAAACCCTTCGTCATCACCATCGCTCGTCATCGTCATCTGATGCTGAATGCTGATCCTCATCCTCATCCTCATCTAGGTCAACATCATCATTGCGGTCACCAGCGTCACCATGATCATCCTGGCGATCATCATGATCATCGTCATCGTGCATCGTCGCCGTCGTCGTGCTGGTCTTCGTGCTCGTCGTGGTGATGCTCGCGGTGGTGTCATCGTCGTCGTCAACATCAAGAACAATAAGAACAAGAACAAGAAGAAGAAGCAGAAGAAGAAAAAGAAGAAGAAGAAGAAGTTTATTGTTTTTATCATCGTCGCCATGCTCCTCATCATTCTCTTCCCGAAGTTGCCCAGGGCTGCAGCGAAAGCATCTTCTCCATTGTCATGTGGCACATATGGGTGCGGGTCAAAAGTCTAGGTATGTAACTGGCTCCCGGGCGTCTTTCCGCGACATAGGGTTTGTAACAAAGCCGTTCTGCTTGCGACAAGCAGTCCGCGACAAGCCTCCGCGACAAGCCTCCGCGACAAGCCTTTGCGACAAGCCCCTTCTTGGAACTGCATGGGTTTCGTATCTCTTTTCAAGACAGCGCGAAACAGCCGCGACAAACCCCGCGACATACGTATGAAACAAGTGGGCGCGACATACGTATGTAACACAGGCGGGTGGCGGGACACCGCGACATACCCCTATTTAGAGCCTGGCAAAGATTACTCGGAGTGGAGGCACAGCGGCAAGGTACACTTAAGGCTCAGTGGGTGAGCCTGCAAAGCGTACCGCGACAAGGCCATGGCAGTGGACTTGGCTCCACAGTAAGCAGAGCACGCGAAAAGCAGAGAGCGAATAGAGCGAATGAACGCGCGGCCGGTCTTTGGAAAATCTGGGAGAGGGCAGCATAGGGAGCAGAACAGCAGCTACAAACATCAGTGACAGTAAAATGTCAAGAAATCATGAAATGCAGCCAATCTTGGGAGTTGTTTGGTGTGGCTTGTGTTGTTTCGAGTTGTTCTGTGAACTGAAGGAAACTGCAAGCGCAGACAGCGACAACCGCAAGAAGCTGCGCAGCACCGTCTTGGCAGCTGTGTCAAAGTACTGCTCCCAGGATCTGCCTGCAGTGCGCTGTAGACTGCGGATGGTACAGTCAGGAACGCTGTCACCGTCACGTGCTTGCAGGACCCGACCATTTCTGCAGAGGCAGTAAGGCGCTGCAAGGAGTTCTCCGCAGCACCGAATGATGCCTCGGTAGCTGGGCATGACGATGACTTCGTTGGCAGAGACTTGAGCGCTCGGCAGTTTGTGCATTGAGGACTGTCCGTAGAAGTATCATCCCACGACATGACGCCATGTTATCGATATTACTTTGTGAGGTTCTTTCTGCAGACATCCGATCTGCAGTTTTCGATGTGGCAATGCAGAGTGACCAAGCAGCCATCGTTTTTGATGATCTTGTCCAGTCCCATGACGTGGTGACGGACGGTGCCGTGACCAGTCACATCCACAGGGGCCAAAAGTGAACAACTCTTTTCAGAGAAGAGAGGGTTGTGAAACAAGTCCAATGAAGTCAAGAAGTGTTTCTGTTTTGTGCTCTCAAACACCGAGGCGCGGTCAAGATCCACATCTACGGCGCTTTGGGCAAAGCGGGTGGAGCTGCCCTCCAGAAGAGAGCGCTCGACTTCTGCTTAAGCGGAGCTGTTCGGTCTCAGGACTTGATCTACATTCCCATGGCCATGGCCACGAGCGGTAAAGTGGGTGCAGACACAGTCTTCTCTTGGATGCAGAATGAGTACAGCCGCATCTATGAGATGATTGGTGCCACCTCCATGATGTTATTCCAGAACATGGTGCGGGTTTCAGGAGCAGGTTTTGTCACAGAGAGCAAGGCCGAAGAGGTGTCCGCTTTCTGGAAGACCCGTGACGTGTACAAGAACATAGAGAAAGCTCTGGCGCAGACGGTCGAAGGCATCAAGTCCAACTCCAAGTTTGTAGACAGGTCCAGACCTCAGAGTCAGACACCCGTTGACATGCACGATCTTAAAATAATCGGATGCTTTTTTGCTCTGGTGCAGGTTGAAGGGATCCAAAGCAGCGCTCGCTTCAACCTGGAAAGCCGCAATGGCCAGCAGCAGCTTGTGATGCTGACATTTGACAGGCTGAGGGGAGAGCCCCCTCGCTTGACTTCGGCAAAAACACAAAGCCAGACATGCTGAACACGAAAATCTGCTTTGCAGCATTCTGAGCCCGGTCATATGAGCTGCAGAAACCTTATGAGCCACTTTCCTTGCCTCGCTGGTGGTGCGAAGGCAGTGGAAAGCGTATGCTGCCAAGTGCTTGGAAAGTATGCAGAGGCAGGGTCTGTGACAAATCAAACCTCTGAAAGAAGTGGAGTACTGGTAGCAACTCAGGCCCCGGGTGCAGAAGCTTGCTTACAGGCGTGCTCACCTCAAGGATCAATCTGGCCAGCCGCGGGTCAGGCATGCCAAGCTGGCTTGTTTTTGGTCTGCGTTGCTCAAGCTGTACAGTTTTTTGCATGAGGCCCCAGCCAGTCCATATCCCAGACGCATCCAGACGTGAGCGGCTGCCAGGTGCGGAAGCCTGGATCCCAACAGCAAGTTGAACTGGCCGACTGGCGAGGCGACCGGCAATTCGCATGCTTGCTGCCGTTACTTATGTGGCAAGCAGGTGTGCAAAACTTCCCAGGTCGCGTGCGAGCCCGGATTCTTTCTGACAACGGGGAAGCGTGCACCTGCCATGTGTCCCCGGAGTAGGTGACTTATGTGACTTGCGATGCTGAATATCTTTAGACTTTTCACACCAAAGGCAGTGCATGTATGACAGCACACGGCATGTCGAGCTTCTTTTCCACTCTTGCCAGACGAGAAGTTCACGTCATCAATCAGCAAGGCAAGCAGGCACCCACATGACCGAGTCTGTGCGAGAGCCCTTTAGTCCTTTTTTATTTGGGTGTTCGGTTGTGAGTGCGCCAGTACACTTACACGCAGAACTGCTTCGGATTGGAAGCAGGGTGCTTGGACTCACGACCTGCGTCACACTGAGCCAAAGAAGATGTGGACAGCTGTGCAGCAAGGCCTCCACGTCCATGATGGAACAGTTCTGCTGTGCAAGGCACGGCACGCAGGCTCGCTCAGAATCAGGTTCGCTTCCGTGTGTGTTTCCAGGCAACAGTGCCTGATGCTGCTGGCCGACTGGTCGGTGGGACAGCGGGCATCCACAAAACAGAGCTTGCAGGACTGACTCATGCGACTTTCATCCAATGGCCACTCAGTGCCACAACCTGAGTGGGAGATGTGGGAGGAATTGTGCAAGATATTCCCGAGACTGGCTGGAGCCTCAAAAGTCGATAAATGTTTGAGAAGCAATTGGCTGGATTCAGAGCCCTCATATCGGACAGGAAGTGCTGTTCCAACGAGAACTGAGGGAGGCAGCAGTTGAAAGCTCCGATTCATAGCATGCTCATGAAGCTTGCGTGGGGTGCTCTGTCAGGGCAGGCAGCTGATAGCTTGCGCAGAGGTGGGTTTGAATGATTTAAATGCCTTGGCTATGCAGCTTGGCGAAAGCTTTTCGCAAAAAATGTTTCGAGGATCTTGAGGAAATGAGCTTCGATCCTCTTCTGGCCCATTTGGAGATGCAAGTTGCAGAGGTGCGGCAGGAGTGGTGAACTATTCCAACAGATCAGTCGCTGGCGGCATCAGATCGGATGTTTTGTGCAACTTCCTGGAGGGAATCATCATGCACAGGGGTTTGGGCTTGTCATGGCTTGGCCCCAGCCCAACGCTTCAAGGCCCATTTCTGCCTGGGAAGGGTACACCAAACCTGAGGGGGTTTGTCGGCAGTCCGTCTTTCTTTTCACGGCTCACCCTAGTGACCCTAGTGATCCATTCCCCCTCGCAGGCTCCCCCGAAAGTTGTCTACAAAGATTTGGCAACACCTACCTAGCCTTGATTATACGATATGATACGGACCTGATTTAGCTTAGTTAATGAATATGCATACCTGCGATGTGCATATGCGAAGTAAACTCCTGGAGCGAGAACTTAAACAAAACGGTGGTTCACAATTTAGTGCAACTTAACTCTTTTTCTCCAGGGGCAAGTGGTCCTGTTTGTTTACGTACTTTCGGCTCGAGCGCCTCATTTGGTGCATCGATTGTCCCAATAGCTGTCCTTCGCACTCTTCCAAAATTCCCGGCCATTTCCATCGTGTTCGGGTTAATTACGATATACGAGTATAGTTCCAAAATTCTGTGAATACATGATGGTATCATCTAGGTCAAGACGCCATTTGTTATTTTAGTTCAATGAATCTGGAATCCAAGATCCAGGATGCAAGAATGCAAGAGATCTAGGGCCTCCTAGGGTCTTGGAATGTCTTGGATTCTTAGCCTGAAATTCTTGGATCTTGGATTTCGGATCTTGGGTTACTTTGCCAAATCTTGGGTTTCGAATCTTGGATCTTGGGTTCTTAAGCCTGTGCACGTGCCTCCTTTGAAAGGTAAGCCGCGGGGCGGGGCAGGGGGCTGCTACATCATCAACGATTTCCATCGTTTTCACACGCCTGAAAATCTGTTCATCATGCAGGGCCCCTGAATAAACATGTGTTTCCGGAAAAAAGCTGAGCGATCTGGAAACCATGAGTTGAGACATTTCTGCACTCGATATGTTGGATGGCCATCCGCACAGCTCCAGCCCCAATAGAGTTTAAAGTTCACCACGGCATCAAGTCTGGCGAATCGCGGCGAATCGCCCGCGCGGCAGCAAGAGCTACCGCCATCCTTTTCGCCATCCTTTTGTGAAGATTTATTGGCAGCCAAAGCCAGCACCATCCTCTGTGTAGACACCCGCACGGGCTATCGAAACTCAACGAGGGTTTTTGTTGTTTTTCCTACATGTGCATTTCCCCAGGTTTGCCGATCAACAGGCTTAAGCGTCTTCGCTTTCAGTTTAGATTCAGTCGCGCCTATCAGGCCCTATTCAGCTAAGCGGTTGGCAACAACAAGGGAAACGATGTCTGCCGAGTCTACGTTGTGGCATCAACTGCCGATTCCATGCCGTCTGTGAAGCTTTTCATAGGCTTCTGTGGCTCTTCGCTTCGCTCTCGAAAGCGCTGCGCAGGCCGGACAGGCCACGCAGGCCGTTGCCATGGAGGCCAAAGATGCCAAAGGTTCAAGAATATCTGCCTGAGACGTCGAACAAAAAGGCAAGAGATGCTGCTCTAAGCTTTCCTTTCCAAGCTGTGCAATTCGCTTCCACACCCTAGTCTGCATAGCAGAATCAGAAGCTTCGATTGTTCAGGCTCTCCATGGAAAGGGACAGCAGCAAAACATGATCAGTGAGTTTCAAAATAAGCGGATCGTCGGCTGCTGCTGCAAGAGAAGCTTGCAAATTGCAAGAGCTCGTGCTCAAGCCATTTCAACCCTGCTTGCTGACGTACTTTGTGCAGAGATTGCCCAGCCTGCAGCACTTGCAGCTTCTACTGTAACTTGCTTTCTTTGTCATGCCGTCCGCGTAGAACTGGCCGGTTGTCGAGCCAGACCCTGACTCAACATCTGTCACAATCACAAGGTGTGATGTCTCCATCTGCTGCAAATACATTGTGCTGGTGCTGAGGCCTGTGAAAGCATGGCGGCCAGTCTCCAAGACCTGTCAAGCGAAAGCAGAACTCCTTAGAACTTTAGATGTGCCTGAGCCAATCACTAGGTTTCTAAAGTGGAGTTTGTTCTGGCTTGCGTAGCTGTGTAAGGCTGTGTAAGTGTGTGTTCTGTGTAATTTGTGTTTTTTCAATTGTCTTCTGTACAGCATCTCCAGCTTTGGGAGCGAAGTCCGAGTTCTCAGGTCGCTCATGGAAACGTCGCTGGCCTTCTAAGGAAACATGGAAACGGCCTCTGAGTGCAATGCAAAATGCAATGCAGTCTGTTTAATCATGTGTTTAAGACATACTTGACGTCTTTGCACCTCCAAGGCTATGCCGAAATCAAGAAGGCGCTGCCAGGCACAGTCGGCCAAATAGCAAATCCTCACGCCTCCTCGGCAGGTAGGCGAGGGATCGTTCGGAAAGGCGCTGCTCGTGCGCTCGGAGGATGGGTTTGTTCCCGTGAGGTGTTTTAGATAATTTTTAGATGTCAGATTCTCAAGATGCCGCAGGATGGGCAAAAGCTGATCTGCAAGATGGTAGATGTGAGCAAGGCGTCGCGCAAAGAAATGGAGGACGCTATGTGCCTTGCTCGGGTCGTCGCTCATGAAGAGAGGATTCAGCTGCTGGCTGGGTTTAAGTTTGGGGAGAAATATGCTGCTTGCGTGAAGACCTTGACCAGAAAACTGTCACACAATGCATGAGACGCCATGCGGAGAACTGCCGTCAAGTGCCATGCCCAGAAATCGGTCGTTTGTCGTTGCTGAATCTCGAGGTTTGTGGAGATGTGGAGCAAGTTGAAAACTTGTAATCTGCAGCATTGCGGAAATACCCACCTGCTGGTGCCTCTGTGTTGCCGACCTCGTGCCGACGCTCAAAGGCCTCAGATCTTTGCCACACGCTGAGAATGTACAGAAGCTGCTGCAACTGCTGCCTGTGGTCGCATTGCGCTGGTTTCACAGCATTAGAGCCTGAGTCGCTCGCCGGCCCCTGCTTTATTTGTTTTTACGACGAGATATGCGCGTCACCGCGTCACCACCTTACATCGATGACGTACCCGACCCGCCACTCGCCGGATCTTTCACACTATTGCTACCACTGCTTGCGTGGCAAACGCTGGGGGTTGGGTCCTTGACAGTTGCGAGCGGCGTTGGGTCACGGTCCCCGTGAAATGGAAAGCGATGGCTGAAGGTGGCACTGACTCTCGGGAGGCTTGGTTTCAAACTCCAGTATGGCAGCAGCCCTTGACATGGCGAATCCCAATGATTTGAGTGTGTTTTCTTTTCTTGTTTCATTTTGCCTCATCGTTCTTTCTTTGCACCCCGCTTTTTGCGATCCGATGTCTTGATTCAGCTTTTTTGTGTTTGCTTTTGCGGTGTGCTTTCTTCTCTGCCGTTTCTTGTTTTTGTTTTTTTGAAGATCTTTATGTCTTTAGTCTCTGCTTGCTGCGAGAAGGATTGAAGACAGGAGAGGCAGAAACGGCAGGCGCGGAAAGAAGAAAGGACAGCTGTGCCGAATTTTCCTCAGCACAAGAACACCTATGGAACGATTGAAGGCGGCAAAACGAGCCAAAATTCAACACACCACCCGAACCTGGAAGCCCCAGCACAAAACACAAAACATTGCAAGCATCGATATTGAAAATACACATTCTAGCCAACATTCCAATTGGAGACTTTGGGTTTCAGGGTGGAGGCCGGCAAGCAACTTGCGAATCCTTTCCATCATGCGCACGTTGCGCTTGCCAATCGGGGTTTTGTGCCCCACTTTCAAACGCCATACCATCTTGTTTTAACGAACGGCAGGCCAGCAACATTGTGCCATGTTTTCACAGGGTGGAGAAGCTGCCCCCAATCCCCACAAGCGTCTGCGTTTCAAAGCCGCGCAAGTTTGGATTTACAGAACATCATGCAGTCGAGAGGGCGCGTTTCCAATTTTTTCAAACATGAGAATCCTTTCGTTACAATCGGTGGTGGGGGAGACCCCACACCCACCCAGTTTGCTTTCGACATCACACTGCCTGAGGGAGTTGCTTCCAAACCAGTCACTGAGAGCATTGTGTGCGCCGCTGGGAGGTGTGCTCGCGTACCCCGCAATCATCCAGGCTCTGTACCACTCGATCTGCGATAGTCGTCACTCCGGAAGAGAGACCCGAGGCATGTCCGGAGCGCAATGCGCCCCTACTCGAAGAAAGCATAACTGGGTCTGGCCCCACGTGCTAAAACAAGCCCGCTTAGCTGCTGTGGTCGCATCTGGGCTGGGGTTCACTTCATGTCAAGATGTGGAAAGGCATTTGAAGCGTTGATCGCCACGAAATGCCACGGCAAACTTTCTAACGGTATCAGGCGTGAAGCTCAAGGTGTTGTATTGAAAAAATGCGTGTTTGTACGTTGTCGTTTTGAGATGGGATCTGGTCAACATGTGATTGCAAGGGTGTGAATACTGAATGCTTTTGACCAATGTACGGGAGTTAGGGGTCAAGGTGTGATGGGAGTCGCGCTGAGACATGCTAAGACCGGTCGGTCTCCACGCCGGTTGGCAACTCACGCTTCACTCACGCCCAATCCTACCCTTATCCCAATCTTTCGTTCACCAGCTACTATCTTCCCACGTTTTCATGATCCACAGTCTCATCACCGGAATGGCAAGGTTTTTTCGTTGTTCTCGGTGCATATGGCATGCACTGCATGCACTCACAGCTGTTTGTCTAGGATGCCGTCAAAGAGGGCAAGCTGCTGTCAGAATTGCGTGATGCTTATTGACTCAGCAAGTGGGCATTGAGAAGATTCCTGCTTTGGGTTGCGTTTGAGGAAGCATCCTTACATCGTCCGCTACCGGGAAAGTTTCACAGAGAGTGGCTGGTGCGCACGGCAAGTTTCTTTGCAGTTGCTGAATGGCCTTAGCGAGTGCACAAGTTGGTTGGCAAGGGCCCGCTCGATGGTGTTGGTGCGTCTTAGTGACGTGGAGAGACCTTCACATCTTGTCACACCTGTGGACTTTGCATGGAAGCACACAGTTGGTTCGAGAAACTAGGTTTTCAAAACTGCAGGTGTGCCCAGTTGCAGCTTCGGTTGCTGATTCTGATTGAGTTTGACTGCGTGTCAGGCTGTGCATCCTCATGGACTATTGTGAAGGAGGTGATCTCACAGCGCGTATCGCGGAGGCTCTGCAGTGCTTTTCCTGGAGCTAACATGCTTCGTAGCTTCCCGTTTGCCTTAGGAGGGCCCATGGGAGGGCATTGTTTGCAGGACTGCGAATGAAACTCTTGTAACAGGCCTGGGCGGCCTTTTCGGGTTTGTAGCAAAACCCTTCTGCTCTGCTTCTGACAAATTTCAGAAGGTGGACCGAAGCTCGCGATACCACGCGCGGCATACGACAAGCCCCAAAACCCACTCATCCCTACTCTGTACTTTATCTGCACCAGCTTCCCACGAACAGGTTTCGTGTCTTGTTCTTCATGCTACTGTCACCCAGCGCAATTTCATGATTCATATGAGGCCAAAGGATGGAAGTGGGTTTTGAGGGTTTTGGCCTTTTTTGACTTGCTGCCATGTGGAAAGCCTCGATGAAATTTGCTCCGTTTTCAGTTCATGTTCGCCAGCTGTAAATTTGTTGCGACCATGCTCATGCACTTCGCATATGTGTTCACATACAGTTTCGCTTCTGTCTCGTTGTCTTGTTTCTGTTCCTTGGTTTTCTGGAGTCTTTTGGTGTGATTTTGTGTGCCAGTGGTTCTGAACCCTCACATCCACGCAAGACTGATTACCGAATCCCTCACGGCCACCTGAGACTGGACGTCAATTTTGAGTGGTCTGCATACGTCTTATCTGGACAAAGCAGGCCTCACGGTGTCCTTTTGCTTGCGAATATTACGGTAGCGTTCTGCTCTGGTCTACACATATGATCCGGCTCAATACCAAAAACTACTGAAAGACAAGGGTGATGTGAAAGCATGAAATGAACTAGTCCGTGAACAAGAACCGTTTAAAAAAATGAGAGCTCACATGGCTAATCCACTTCCTGCATCAAAGGTCAAAAGGCGTTCTGAGATTGATTGTGTACGAAAGGAAAAGTAAAGGCAAACCGCTCTTTCCCTCTCCCTTACATGTAATGAGCAAGACACAGGCTGTTGCATGTGACCGCCCAGCATAGAAACCGTGCCATCATGAGTCTTTCTACGTGACAAGAACTAGTAGATGCAGGCTTTTTAGGCGAAACACCTCTGGGGTTTGGGGCTCTTGCAGGGCGCGGCAACCGCGAAACCTGTTCTGGGAAGCTTGGAACCCCTCATATGGACCAATGACATGGTGCAACTAACTCAACTCAACAATGGTTCGATAGCTCACAGAATATATAATAAGATGAGAGAAGCATGCAAGACAAGGAAAAGGCCGCTCACCACTGAGTATCCTAGAATGGTATGGGCGGGCCGATTCGCCCACTGCTCCACAAAAAGGTTCGTGCACGGGTGGATTCGCGCACTAGACGGAGGATTCGTGCACCAGGATTCGCGCACTGGCCGACTAGCACACTGGGGCGGGGGATTCGCACACTCGCATGGCGGACTCGCGCACCGGCGGATTCTTGCACTGGCCTGGCGAGATGCCTAGGGTTTGGAGCGCTATTTCAACCAAACAGGTTAGAGGTTTCACGGCCGAAGGAGTTTATGAGTTGTGGGCTTTAAAGCTGAGCCTTAGGGTCATGGTGGAAAGGCCAGAACATATACAAGCAGTGTCCAGCCACGAGTCTGGCGCGCGAAGGACAGGGTTTGTGCGCCGGGCCAGTGCGTGAATCGGGTCCTGTGTGCAATCACATTGACATTGGTCTGTGTCAAGGGCTGGCGTGGCCCGCTGGCGTGGCTGGCCCATGGCCCGCTGGCCCGTGGCCTGGCCCGTGGCCTGGCCCGTGGCCTGGCCCGTGGCGTGGCCCGTGGCGTGGGCTTCTGGCATGGGCTTCTGGCGTGGGCCCGTATTGAATAAGGGGCTCGAAGTTTGAAAGGCTCTCCCGAAAAAGCGTTCAAGGTTGGCGCTTCGCTGCCAGGTTTTGGTTGCACAAACCAGATCCGTCGAAAGCTCAATGGCCTTCCAGTAGAGGCTGAAAGCCTTGGCCTAAGCCCCATCTCATTTGCTTTTAACCGGATGCAAGCTCCACATTGCTTCAGCAACGGCATTTTCCAGCATCCCCCCCACAGCCGTACTTTACCTTAAGCAGGGGACCCAGAAAGATCCTTCTCATTAGGCAGGAGGCGTTAACCAGGGTGGTGGTCACCATAGACTTCTTCTCCAAATAATGTAGAAGGTTTTGTCGATGAAGGTACTTGCGTGAGCAAGCTTGCTGCCACGCTCGTGTTGCAGGTTGTTCTCTCCGTGTTCTTGTGCAGAGTTTCCATCATTTGAAGTCATTTCTGGCATTTTCAAGTGCGAATGTTGCTGCAGTCGGACTAGTCAAACAGTTGCATGCTGATTTCTCAGTGCCACCTTATTCAACCTTCCCCACTGCTACTGCAGTTACATAATGTTGCGGGAACCCATTCTCCCGTTCGAGCCCCAAGCAAACAGAATGCATGTTTTGCCACCGAAGAACTTATCTAATTGATCTCGAGCTTTGAATAGCTTGCTCGTTGTTGCTCAAAGCCCTTTTGCGCGGAGAGAAACTTGGCTTAACGGCAGCCTCGAAGTTTGAAAGTTCGCCCGGAAAAGGTTTCACAGCTGGCGGGCCCTGCTGCCAGGTTTCGGCTGCCCACACCAAATCACTGTGTAAGGATCGACGCGTGCAAGGTCTACCCGGAATAAAAGTTTCGCGCTTGGCGGGGCCTTCTGACAGGCTTGCACTGGGCTGCACAAGCCTCGTCGGGCTCGAAGTTTCGAAGAGCTTTCAGGTAAAGGTTTCGCTGGGCGCCTTACTCGTCGGCCAGGGACTCGTAGAACTTTACGTCGTAAGTTATGTGGGTGTTGTTGTTGAAGCGAAGTCTTTTTCAGGTTTTCATTTACGATTGCGGGAAGCGATAAAGCCCAATGCTTCGTTGTTGTTTCAACCTTGTCTGTTGCATCATGTTGCAACAAACCCTTTCCCGAACCTAGCATACAGCCTGCAATTGGAAGGGTAGTGGTCTTGGGAGTGACCATGTGTATATGCAGTTCAATCTGCTGCATAGACTTTGCTTTCGCCTTCATGCGACAGCTCGGCATCACATCGGCTGATTCGTCGCTTTCCACGTTTCCGACAACAGTATTGGCAGTTGTGTCAGCTGGTGGTTCCTGGGCAGTACAAATTTAATCCGCGGCGGCTGCCAGGCCAAGCGAGGCAGAAAGCCTTTGTCCGAGGATCAGATATTGCGTTGGTCCCCTGGCATGTTCTGTGGGCTGTCAACACTCTTTCTAGAGTTCCATATTGGAGCATGTTCGGTTGTTGTTCTGGTCGACGTGCAGTAGAGAATCTACGAAAACAATTTCCTGTGGCTGCTTTTCGTCTCTGTGCTAGCACGGACGAGCCAGGTTTGTGCAGGCAATAATGGCTTTAGACTACATCCACAAGAAGCACGTTCTACATCGAGACCTGAAGCTCAGACCTCAACATCACGCAGAGACGGATCCTCTTCCTCAAAATGATATGCTTCGCCAAGGCCCTCAAATTTCTTTCTGTCGAAGAGCGGGACAGCCAATGGAGTTTGGGTGATGCTGCTTGGGCTCGTGAATTTGTCGCCGCTCTTGCTTTTGTGATCTGGCAGAGGAACTTGAAGATGGGCGACTTTGGAATTGCGAAAGTCAAGTCCTGAGTTACACTACGTTTGCCACTTGTAGGCTCGCAACACAGGCTGCTTCCATGCGCAGGTTCTTGCCTGCACCATAGCCGTTGCAAAGACGCAGATCGGAACGTCGGTCGCCTCACATCGGCTTGCTGCTGGGAGACGTCGTTGATCCTGGAGCATCTGCTTGTAAATCAAAGCCAAGGCCGTATTACTTGAGCCCAGAGCTATGTCAGGAGAAGCCCTGACCCCAATCATGTGTTGCACTTGGACGCTTGCATGGCGCATGGCCTCCCAGGGAATACAATTTCCCGTCAGACATTTGGGCCATGGGATGCATTTTGTATGAGTGCGGCACCTACTCTCGCTTTTGTTACATGTCTTTTGCAAGTTTCATTGACAGCATGCACTACTGTATGTTTGTTGCTACCATTGCAGCTTCAAAGGCTTTGTGCACGCAAAGTGCCTTTCGATGCGCCCAACATTCCGGGCCTTGTTCGAGAGATAGTCTGTGGCTGAGCGAGGTTTTGCTTGCTTGGTTTCTTCTTGGGTGCAACACAAACTCCCCGAGCTGGATTCGGGACCAGAGACCTGCAAGGGACAATTTGAGATCATCTGCAATCCGCAAATGCCCCAAGCGGTTTTCCAGCTGCCGATTTTCCGGCGAAATTCACGTCAACAAAAGCAGACCATAGCAGACCGGAGATAAACTAAAAACGGGGATTGGCGAAATATGAAGTTAATCAGTGTCTTGCGGCAGGATCGCAGGTGAACAGCAGGCCAGAACTTCGGACAGCCGCTGCAACCACAGCAGTGGGCAGCACGGCTCCCCCGGAGAGGTCCCTGGTGCGAAAGGTCTCGAGGCGTCAACGCTGGGTTTCTGGAGGGTCCTGGCGGACTTTAATGGCTGGCGGCCAGGCAGGGTAGGCATCTCCAGAAGAGAATGAGAATAATGAGAGTGCTCTCCAGATAATCTTTCCCGTTAAACGGGGGCAGCCCGCTAGCATCAAGGCATCAAGGCACGGAGTGACAGGCATAAATAGATCCAAAGCCGAGCCCGCGCAGAATTCCTCCGACCGACTCAGACAGCTGTTATAGCTTGGCCAGGTATGGTGGCTTCCTGAACTTGTTGACTTTCCAGGACATCTCGCTCTCCTGTTCTCCCACAAAGTCGGCCTCGCAGTGGAGCGGGGCGGATTGAAACGGTCCGGGTACCACGGTTGGCGAGAGCAACCTAGTCGACAAGTGGGTTGCCGACCTGGCCCTTGGGCACACTATCCGTATTGAGTCGTCGCTCTGCTGTCGACAACCTGGTCCAGCAGGCCAATCGGGTCGTCTCTCCTTTCCACACGGTCGTCCAGCAGCTCCACGTGTTCCTCCAGTTGGTAAACGAGGATGGAGTGGTCTGGGTCTCTCTCTCTCTCTCTCTCCATATCTCTCTTTTTCTTCTTTCTCTCGTTCTCTCTTTCTTTCTTTTTTTTTCTGGCTTTCTTTATCTTTATGCCGTTCGGGCCTTGCTGTAATTCCAAAAATGCCCGGCATGCTGCACTCATCACACTCTTTGAGAACCCCAAAAGGAATCTTCCCGAAGTCGCACAAAGTTTGAGGCCTTCAGGGCCTTGTGGGACATGATATGACATTGTCGGACGGGGTCTGGCTTCTGGGGTGCCTAGTGTGGTTTTTCAAAATCTTGAGTAGCTGGGATGTGTCTACATGAATCTTGGCATGCAGCTCGCCATCGGAGCACGGGCGAACGCTAAAGCAAGTTCCGTGTCTTCGGGTGGACTTGTTCTTGCAGCTTGCAGCTGAGGTAAGGGGAACAATCCCCAGCGTGTCTGTTCCCAAGAAGCTGCACACGTACTCAAACCCGTACTCAAACATAGGCCTCAAAAGGGCAAGCAACTTGGTTCAGGCCAGCTTCCTACTCGCCCTTTGTGAGGGAGCTTGTGAGCCAGATGCTGAACAGGACTGCAGGGATGACTGCGCAATGCAAGGGTACACCACCCTCAAGAATTCTCCTCAAATCAAGCCAAGTACCATGCCTGCGGGCTCTCACTAGGCTCGGAGTGTGGGACCAGCATGGATCCGGTGATGTTATCCTTGCTACGTGCCGGCGGTACTCGTAAATTACAAGACAGATCACGGTTGCTCGGCTCGGACCACCCCTGACTCCGTTTCTTGAGCATCTCTTGGCCAAGAGAACCGTGATCTCATCCCTCACCACATGCTGCATCTCAATCACAGTGCCCAAAGCGACATGTCGAGTTGTGGCTCAGTTCAGCGGAGGAACCCAGAGCGGCGACCAAGTCCAGAGGAGATCTTGGCAAAGTTGCTCCCCCAGACAATCCAGACATCAGTCGACATCAGCAGTCGGCGAATGGGTGAACTCATGTTAGCCTTCGACGGCCCACGAAGGCCACGGCTGCGAGAAATCATGCAGCTTATGCTCAATGAAGCTCAAGAGGCGGCCCAGGTCATCCTTCCGGATTTGATCCGTATCTGCAGCCTCAACTGAAGCATCATCTGCAGCATTATCTGTACTACGAATACTGCGATAAACGTTTCTCATGTTTGTCGATGCCGAGCCAGGCAGCGGACGAGCCTGGTGCTGTGGAGCCACATCCAGAGCCAACTTCCTCGAGTGTCCGGTGCACAGCCGCTGCGAAGCACCGTATAGCGCCCATCACAAAAAAGCATGGACATCTTAGTTGAATGGCTTCATAAGGCGCTCGGTTCCCAAGCTGGCAGCCAGATCCCGAGGAAGTTTATCAGTGCATGTTGCAGTACTTGTCGACATACTTTTATTCTGGAGAAGGTCCTGCATACAGAACCAACGACATGGTGGAGTACTACTCTGTGTCGCATGGAGCTATCTCCTCAAGAGCGGTAGCGCAGGCTTCAGGTTGTTGATGTGGGGCAGCTGCAAGGACTGGTTGCCCGCGACCGTCCTGCGGACCGATGGTGAGGGTCGCATCATCATCGACTTGAAGTCTGAAGCCGAGCTGTTCCCCACAGAATTCACGCAATTTCCTGCATCTCACAGTCTTAGCGCTTAATGTTGAAGAAATTGATGAAGCTGTCGAAGGCCCAACACGTGGCTTTCCAAGGAGGTCAGAGACGATGATAATCTTTCCACATGTTGCCACACATTGCGACACAATGGACTTGGCTTTTCTGCAGGTCCTCGGGACTAGAAGCAGTGTTACTGTTTCCGCCGCTTTCTGCCCTGCGTGACCAGCACTGCGATGCTGTTTTTTTTGAGGACCAAGTTGCCAAAGTTCGACGGCGACGCGATTGCCCTTTCCTCAAGTTCTGTCTGCAGAAGCAGCACCGGACTGCTAGAATGGCATGGGCAGGCCCCGGATCAAGGGGAGGGTCTCCTATGAGGCAGGGTACGCACGCTTTTGTCTGCGGCTTCGCCATCGTAGGGGTTACACACAGCGTGAGCCAGCGAACATGCTCTAGGGACATGGTTGTTGATCTTGGGAATTGACTGTCAGGACACCCTCCGTCGGGCACTCGGTGAAATTGAAGCATGGCCTGCGGCAACGTGTACTCCATGCTAGCTGTGAATCTTGCAGGTAGCTGGGCCTGAAAAGAATGGCTTCCGGGGTGAGAAGCTCAAGGCTTTTGCAGTCGATCCGTGAATGCCGCGTCACAACCGTATTGAAAGAGAATAGCATTGTTCGCATTAGCAGCTCCCTTCACTGGCCTTGCACAGCAAACAAGCAAGGTGCATTTCAATCTCCGCAGTTGGGGCCGGCAGCTTAGCTTGCAGCATCTGCGTTCAGAGAAAAAAAACCTTTTGAGCGACAGAGGCGAAGCCCTTCTTCAGGAGCCGTCGGCTCAAGGCACGTACATCAGTGATTTCTGGATGCCGTTGTGCAGCCAAGTGATGAGGGCATCGTCCAGGCCAGGCAGTCGGCCCGGTTCCAGGGGCGCCTCGCCTCTGCATCGCAGGAGGGTCTTGAAGTGTGCATCCGTGCATCTGTGTGCCCGGCATGGAATGTATCGTGATGTATCGTGTACTCATGTGTACTCAGTGTACTCAGCCATACGTGTCGTGATGTGTCACATGATGAACTTGAATCAACAAGCACTTCATGTCCCATGGCTGGGTGATGCTGTTGCGGGAAAGGAGCCCTGCCTTGGTGTTGTGCTGAGCCTCTCCGTTTCTGCCAGAAGTGAAGTCTGACACATGCCACCATGTCGTTGAGTCTGTTGGCAGCCGCAACTCAGCAGTCATGGCGTGTTTACATTGTAAAGCGACGCTTGCACACCGGCAGTCAGGCCGGCCTAAGCAAGCCCCTGCTCCTGCTCCTGCTCCTGCTCCTGCTCCTGCTCCTCCTGCCTGCTCCTGCTCCTGCTCCTCCTGCTGCTGGCTAAGTTAAGTAAGCCTCAACTCAGCAGTCATAGCGTGTTTCAGTTGTAAAGTGACGCTTGGACATAAGCGCTTGCACGCTGCCTCGGCAGTCAGGCCGGCCCAAGCAAGCCAAGCAATTTGCTGAGGGCCTCCACGAACGTCCTCCACGAACCTCCCTTGGAAGCCTATTATAGACCTCGGAGAGTTTTGGGTCCGGGCAAGAGCGGATCCATGTTGTGACTGCTGCTGCTGCTGCTGCTGCTGCTGATGCTGCTGCTGCTGCTGCTGCTGCTGCTGCTGCTGCTGCTGCTGCTGCTGCTGCTGCGGCTGCGGCTGCGGCTGCGGCTGCGGCTGCGGCTGCTACTGCTGCGCTCGCCCACCCGCACACCGCGGAGCCTGTGCTTTTGCGCAGTTACGCGAGGCTTGCAAAGTGAGGTTGGAAAATGGGGAAGGAGACCGGACCTTGCTCTTGCTTGGCCAGCCCGCTCGCACTCCTCTGAGGCCGCCGGTGGCATCGCTGGAATCGGAAGCCGCCCGGGATCTGGACTTGGCAGTCGCCCTGGGTCGCGAGCGGCCAGGGACCTGTGTGTGCTTCCATTTGTACCCATGACTTGTATGACTTGTCAACGTGTTTTTCGATGAGGCTTCGCCATCCCACAGAGCGCATGAAGCTCGGAATATGCGGGGCAAGAACCGAGCGTCTCTCTTTTGGTAGCACGGCAATCAAGCATCCCATGACCTGGTGACACCTGGTGGCTCCCAGGCCTAGCCCGCGTCACGGAGACGCGCGTGGCCAAGTCGTTGGCTGCCTCAGGTTTCCGGAGAATTTATGCTGATGCTCAAGGCCTTGTACAGGAAGGGTGACCTTGTCGACTACTGGTCAATTTCACATGGGGAATGGCGCATGGCCTCAGATCTCTAAAAAGAGCGTTTCTTTTCATGTTGTAGTTGGACGGTTTGGACAGTTTGTCGAACCAGGAGTTGAACAATCTTCAATCAACCTAGACAACCAACTTCTCCTCAGGCTGCCAGCAACCGTGGTGAACACCGATTTCGAAGGCATGACCCTGAGTCGTGCCAGTACGGCATCATTACATATCATCGTGTTGCCATCTCAACACGGTAGGCCACCCTCTTAAGGGGCAGCTGCAGGTCGCATTGTGATTGACCTCAAGCCGAATACCTGGCTGACAAAAGAGGCTCGCTTAAGACTCAAAACTTAAGGCTCGCTGCTCATCGCTGCTCGCTATCTTCTGCCATGTGCCAAGCGCCCAGCCTCATTGGGCGAGGACCAAGCCACGAAAGTGCGTCGAAGGACAGCGGGAGCTCCAGGCCCTGGTCTGCACTGCGCTTCCCTACTTCCCTCCACTAGCCTATAAAGCAAGTAAAAGAACATCCACAGTAACCACAAAGTTGAGTTATGTTGAGTCCGGGAGCCGGAGGTGTGCCTGCTGAGGGCGGCTCGCAGATTCGGCGCTCTCCGTCCGTAGCGTGCCCAGAAGGGCTCATCCTTGGGCCCACGAATCAACGCACCACGCCCAACTCCCTTTACTTCTCGTAACAAGCCGCCAAGTTGCAGGTTGCAACAAAACTGGCGGTTTTAGATGCTTTGGGGGTTGTATAGATTTCTCCTCCCCGGCAAAGGAGGAGCGCGGGAGAAGCAGCGTAGCGTATCGTAGTTAACCATCTTTCAAGGCTGACCACTTTGCTGCGCCGCTTCGGGCAGCATCTCCGAGGTGGCATATAGCGCCAGATGATGCCATGATGTTGCCTCACCTCTTCACGCGCGTGGACCTGTCCAAGGTGCATGCCCTCTCCGGGACGTGCTCGGACCCCAGGCATCCGGACAGTCGGAATGTGCCAGGTAGCACTCTCGTGGTATTCGAGCAGCATGACAGTAACCATCAAGCCAAGGCAATGTCACCTCGCACGTCGCTTAGTCACTTAAGCATGGGTTTGTCCTTTCTTTTTCGAAGTGTCCCTACTCATCGAAGACCAAGATCGTGTGCCCTCACCATCGTGGCGCGGCTTTGGTGAGCCAGCCATTCGGGTGGTATGCTCAGTGGTGAACGGCCGTCGTTCTGAGCCAGGCTAGATAAGATTAAGACTGTTTGGCATCTGGTCCAGGCACCAAGTCCCAGAAGGCGCGAGCCAACACCACGACGATCAGTGTGCCAATGGCCTGCTTGCCAACTTGGTAAAGTGTGGCCAGAAATCACAGAGCAGATGCCTTGCCTTTTCGTAGTTGTGGAACTGTAATTGTAAACGCTTGCGCGCGCCGCCTCGGCACGGGCCGGCCCCAGGACAGGAAAGGAGGAAAGAGGGCTCTGCAAAAAAAGGGGAGGAAGGGTCGTCATAGGGAGGGTAACGGGGTCAAGAATGTTTGTCCAGGCAGAGGGTGGGGGCTTGGGGGGGGGAAGGGGGGGGGGGGTGGGGGGGGGGGGGGTTGGGGGTGGGGGGGTTGGGGGTGGGGGGGGGGTAGGGGGGTGGGGGGGGGTTGGGGACCCTAGGGCGGGGACCAGTTGGGTCAGGGGAAGGAGGCCCGATCCGGGTCTGCTTGTTCCAGACGCTCAACATGACCTGCCAAGACTAGCCGGAGAGGCACACAACGACACCGAGATGCCCGCTTGCGCGCCCACCCGCCGTACGCCCGCACGCTCACGGGGACGCACGCCGCACGCCGGCAGGCAGACGCAGAGGCAGCAGGAGAGAAACAGAGCTGCAAGGATGCCAAATCGACAAACGCACCCGAAGCTCATCAGCAGGATGCGACAGCACGTAGACAGCACGTAAAGAGGGTACGCATCGATTGCACTCCCGGGGGACGTGTGCCGGGATTTGCTGCATTTGCTGCGCTTTGTAGACAAGTGATTTCCGAATGGTTAACAAGCGCCGATGCCCGCCAGGCCTGGAATGCCGCCTGCAGGCCAGCACTGGGCCAGCACAGGATCTTTAAGAGCTGCAAGCGCTGCTCTGTGATGCTCGGTGATTTGAGGAGGCGCTCACCTTGGCGACAGCCCACTCCTCCGTGCAGGAGGGAAGAATATCGCAGGTGGATATTTGCCGCCGTGAGTGTTCACTGTCTCACAGCTTCGGCAACTCTCAGAATTCTTGGGGCGATCCAAAGGTTCAAGGCCTCTGTAGCTTGATTCGTGCTTTATTCGTGGCAATATGTGGCATTTTCTCGGTGCCACATCATCGACACTCCGGACCATACCGTACCATACCTGCCCCTGCCCGAACAGTTCCAAGACATCACGATTGTGCGGATCAATGCTGCAATCTCATGCAGCTACCGTTGATGCGTTGATATGGTCTACTTGCTCTGTACTTGCTCTGTACAGTCCCAACCGACATGTGAGTCAAGTAGGTTGCGGCGGCCTGTCCTGATGGCTTTCATTTGCCCAATGCCAGGCTTCTGCTGGAATTCGTGGTTGTAAACATGCAACGCTTACCTTGTGACAGCCGGAGGGTTCCTGCACAAGCAGCAGCCGGAAAAGCATCTTTGCTGTCCGCCTGGACACACGAACGTGTTTAGGCCACACCTGTTCAGCCCGCGAAGTTCCGTTGCGGACTCCGTCGAGATGGCTTCGTGGTGGATGAGTTTTGATAGTCTTTCTGATGCTTGATAGTTCAAAGGTAGTTGCACCCAGTACTGATGCAGGATCGCTTCGATAGGTGCCGCGGCATTTGTGCAAAGTCAGAGATTGTACTAAGGCTTCTTGGTAGTGAAATGCAACAGTCCCTTAGCTGGGGAATGCGATTGCAGCGCAAGTCATGCGACGAAGACTTGTATATGCCTGACTTCTGAAGCCTTTTATGCATGAGCTCAGGCGAACAAAGCGAGTCATTTTTGCTTTCTTGCAGGTCGCACAATCCAGTTCCACGCTGGTTCTGTACCGTGTATTACAGTGTGAGAAAGCTCTGCTTATTTTTCAGAGGACAGTGATTGCAGAATCCTGGATGTAGAGCATTCTTCACATTTTTTGATGTTTCCGCCACGTGCACGGCTCATCGTGTCAGTGCGCGTTCGCACAGGATGGCTGCAATATTTCTTTAACCTTCACCCAACACGTGGATCGCCATGTTGCATGGACTTTGCCCTGAAAATACGTGCTCGCATGTTCTTACACTTTTTCTGTCTGCTATAGGTACAAGATCCAGGGAAAGCAGTTCGAGCTCATTGGCGTCGCCGACCCTTACCTTGACTGGCGGGGCTCTTGTGGGCCATCGGGCTTCAGTGAAGAGATTGGTCTTTCGAAGCTTCGGGGTGTCTTGAGGCCAAACCACCTCGGGCCAGTGGACCTAAAATCAAGCAATCTTTAAATCCTCCAAAAGCCGCCCTGAACCACTGCTGAATGTTCATCACTCGGATTATCTTCTTGGAAACCTGTCCGATGATGGAGGCCGCGAGTATCATTAGCCCGACCGTGGCTGTTGATTGAAAGCCTTGGCGCCAAAGATAGAGTGACATGTTCCGGAGCTGCTGGAAAAATTGACGCATCCGTGGCAATGTGCTGCCGGTGTAGCTTCAGATCTCCTATGTTCAACTTGGAAGACTGAATGCCCTCGCGCCAATGCTCTTGCAAGAGATTCTCAATCATATCCATGTCACTTTCAGGTGGCAAGGCAGTGGAGATGTGCACCTTGCGTAGCTCCCTTTCCACCCTCAAAATCTGGATGCAAGTTCGGCTCGAAGTCCAAGATTGGGATACAAGCGTGGCAGGACAACCACATCCATAGACCAATCTGCGGGGTTTTCGTTCTCTTGCATGTTGAAACCAAGGCTTTCCAAGTAGGGGGTCAGTTCATGCAAGGGACCCATAAGAACAGCGCAGCCACCTTTTCCAAGCAGCAACATATCATTGACAAGCGTCAACAGAGCGCGGCGATAGCCCATCCAGCCTGGATTCAGCCACTTCCAGCCTGGATTCAGCCACTGCCTTTGCGAAAGTTGCAGCATTGGGTATGACGATTGTGCTTGGCATCCACCAGGGCTTTGCCCAGACGGGCACGCTGCTAGCTCGATGCTAATGTTCTAACATTCCCGCAGCCTTCAGCTCAAGCTAGGTCTACCACGATACATGAGAAGCGGGGATTGTGCAAAGACAACTGTACCTCTACATGTAGAACCTTAATGGACTATTTGGGCATATTGGCAGCAGTCTTCGCCGCTGTGCCGGCCATGATCAAGTGTCCTCAAGCCTGTTTACACCGGGTATGTTGGAGGGTTAATGAGGTGAATGGGACTCTGTTAGAGGTTTATTGGGGGTATATCGGGTACACATAGTATACCCCTCCGACATAGCCCAATACTGCCTCACTGTACTCCCTACTGTACCTGATTTAATCCCCCAATCTAAAGCTTTGGGGTCTCTCGAGATCTGAGTCTCTGCTCTCCACGCCGGAGGGATCCGACTGTCTCCCGCACTCTGTTTCAGAAGAATTCTTGATGGCCAAGAGGCCTCACAGTCTTCAGGCAGGTATTGGTTACGGGGATGACCGGGGACAGCTTGCCATGGTTTCGGTGTGCCGGCCGCGGCAGCGCAACCACAGAGGTGCTCGGGCAGCTGCAGCGAAGATGGCTGAGCGCCTCGACGAGCAACATCTGTACTGCAGTACCTGTGCTTGAACTGAATAATTAGCCTCAAAACCATCGCAGTTCTTCGTTTCAATTTGGTACGACCCAGGGTAGTTTTATGGTTTGGTTTTGGAAGGCAGTGGCAGCTGTTTCTGTACCGTTCTTGGTTTTGAAGCATGTATGCCGATCCTTTCCCACTGATACAACAGGGAATTCCATTATTTTGGGATGTTGTGTTTTGTTGGGATGTTCTGTGTTTTTGATGTTAAGAAGCTTACTAAGCAGAGGACAGGGAAGGAAGGAGGGAGGGAAGGAAGGAAGGAAGAAAGGATGGAAACAAGCAACGAAGCAAAGGCAGGGAGGAAGGGAGGAAGGAAGGCAGGAAGGACATCAGATAACATATAACATATTATAGTATACTATACTAGAATATGTAGTATAGTATCATATAGACACACACACAGAGGCAGAACACCCTAACAGCAGGGACTGTAGGGATCGCTGTTAACCACGTGCCGAAACCGGCGCGTCGTATCCCCTCCTTGCGCCGGAAACAACGACGGGTCAGGAGCAGAGCTAGAGCCATAATCTGGAAAGCCAGGGCCGTCTCTTGGGGGTGAGGGAAACCTTTCAAGGGGTTTTCTCTGCAATACTAACATCGCAAAAAATACCAATATTACTTGGAATAATACAAATACAGATGATGCTGGCACTTTTCAAAATCTTAAGGCCACCTGAAAAATGCAAACAAGAAACGCTAAAGGAGTATCTGTGCCTACGCAAATACTCATGGGCTCGCTTCCATCTTCTCGTGCTGGTGCTCATTGAAGCTAAGCGTATGTTTTGGTACCTAGAATATCAACATCCAAAACTGCCACAACTACAGAAACATACATTGTTTATCCTGTATAGGGTTTGCCGTTCCAAAGAGTTGGGAGCGAGCACTCGACATTCCATACTTCCATACTTTGTTGGACGATAAAACAATACATACCAATTTAAAAACTATTTTTGTTGGGAGGCAGGAGCTAGATCTTCCCAAGCCGTGTGGCATACTGGGCATCACAAGTGTGGCAACTATGGAATAAGGATTGCTGGGATCTAAAACTTATGGCATCTTCTAAGGTGGGGTTGGGCCCTTTCCTCCGTTGAAGCTCTGGTACCCAGAACATTCAAATCCAAAAAAATATACACACAAATGTACATACCTATATTTTGTATAGGCTTTGGCATGCATTTTTTTAGATGGAGGGGGGGGGGTACTCCACTTTCCACACTTCTAACTTCGATGGGCCGTCACATGCTGCATTCCTCATTCCACAACTAAGTTCATATTTGTGCGAGAAAGAGACGAATGGGGTGGACCTTCGGAAGTCAGACATGCTCTTATAAGATAGTGATAAAATGACACGTAGAGATCCTTGTTCTGTCTGCATTTTACGGCCCTGTAATGCGTCTTACTCTCTAGTAGTAGTAGTATTTTGATTTTCATTACTATATTTTGAATGGTTGTGATTCTTGTTCTTATCATGATTGTTTTATTTTTGCTACTATTCTCGCTACTTCCTGGTGAGAGAACTGTCATGCTTGACGATTTGAACGAACACCGTCTCAGACCCCGGCAAGTAAGCAGGCAGGTTCTGGTAATTACATGCAGTTGAGAGCGGCGCATGGGATTTTGATGAACACACTTTGGCATCAGTAACTGAATTCAAAGTCTCCAAGGTCCCTGGACAGTGGCAGCACTACGGCAAGCAGCCGAGAGGTCCGGAACCAGTGCATGCGTCTTTCTCCGAGTGGTGACATGTCCGTTGCGCAGGACTCGCCAAGTGTGCGATGCTCAGAGCCAGAGCTGCACGGCAAGGACCAGCCCGGCCCCGAGCCGGTTGGGATAGTCTTGCAGTCCAAGATACGCTGCTGCTCCATGGAGCGGCCAGCTAGTAAGTTCTGAGCGTTACTGAACTCCGTGAGTGGCATGAGGGGCTTGGCTTTCTGGTTACATGTTGCAGCCCCAAACGGCGCTGCGGTTTGTGAAGGCATCACCAGAATACTGCCTGTAATTAGCAAATCAGATGGGAGAGATCGAGGTCCGCTGCAAGAGCTGCGGCGCTGGAGGTGCAGGTCGGCCAGCTTGTCAACGAGCCATTCGGCTGACAGGTGTACGTTGAAGTTTTGGCCCAATTGCCTGCAGCTTCAGATCTGACTTTAGGGAGTCCCTAGGATGAGCCTGCACATGTTATGATACGGATTGGCGACTCAGTGCTTGGATGCCTTGCATGTCCGGGATGGGCAGCTTGCCCAAAGACACGCCCGCACGCCCGCACGCCCGCACACCCGCACGCCCCCGCACCACGCACCCACGCACCCCCGCACTCCCGCACCCCCGCGCCCCCGCACCCACCCACACACCCCCGCACCCACCCACCCACCCACCCACCCACACACACACACACACACACACACACACGCACGCACGCACGCACGCACGCAC